GATCTAGTCTCACTAGTACGGTTAATCCTTATTGGGGATAATAGCATTATGCTTTGAACTCTACTAAGCTAGATCCTGTTAATGTAATAGGGCAACGGTTGTAGAAAAATGTTTCCAAAATTAGTCTCACATCATTTGTGATTCCAGGCGTTATTGTCTTTTTTCTAATGATAGCCTTTTTTTTCTCCAAATAACACTTTGGTAAATATAAATCATTACTACTTTTTTTCTAGATTGTCCTGACCCAAACTTTAATGCCAATACAATAACAACTCCAGCCGATAGAAAATGGCACTATGGATCCACTTTTGATGTCTCTTGTCAGCAAGGATACAGTTTCTATTCTGAAGAATTCGAAGATAATGGCAGCACCAATGAATCGTTTGTTAGTAAGACTTCAGTGGAAATGACCTGCCTTAAAGGCGGGCAGTGGAATGTCAAAACGATTCCCCAGTGTTCGAGTAAGTATTCAACATTGTGTATGTATAGATTTTAACACAGTTATCTGCCCTTGGAGTGTATAAATACAAGTGAGAAAGAGGCGGCCATTTTGCTTTTTCAGTATTGCTCAGAAGCATCTCCAGCTGACGTCTTCTGTACTTTACAGTGTAGAAAGGTAGATCATTAGTTCTAGGAATTTGACAGTCTATGAAAACTACCAAGTTATTAAAAAAAATTAATGATTTTGTTTTCCTGGTTGAGATTTATCTATGGTGGTTTAAATTTAGCTTTATGAACGTAAACGTTCGTTAATATACTGCTGAGCAATAACATTTAAATGCAAGCTATTTACGGCATTTATGCATTATTCCTTTACTAGCAAATGTGAATGAAGAAAAGGGATTGGTGAAAAAGATCATGATCGCCAGTTAATATCTAATGCCAAAATCGATTAAGTGCCTGAACATTCTCGGCAAGCTACATAAAATTGTATTGTAATATGATTCACTCCAAGAAAGAAGAGTCTAAATCGAATTTAAATTCTATCAGTAACCTTTGATCTGTAGTGATTCCAATATGCACTAGATTCCGCATAAGAGATACTAAAGTGAGGTTTGTGTCAAATCAGAATGTCAAAAGATCTAGATGCGTCCAAGTTTCATTTAAAAATCTAGATCTTTTGACATTCTGATTTGACATAAAGTGTAGAATCGAACCTCAAAGAATACTGTTGACTGGCCCGACATAAGCAGTAAATCAACCAATTAAATATTGACTGGCGATTATGATATTTTTCACTAATTAACTTAGAATATAGACACACAAGAAAACCAACTGAAAAGAAATTAGATAAACCCAGAAGTCACGACAGAGGGAGGGCAGAATGTCTAAAGTGCTCCCAGAACAGAAGGTTCGAAGGAAGTCCCCGAAACCACATACCCTAGATTCGGCAGACGTTAATCTAACGAAGCCCAGAAGTGAATAAACGATTATTTTACGCAATTTAGTCTTGTATTCATATGAGACGTTACTTACATTATATACACATGTATAATGTACAGGAGTCCCTCGATTAGTGCGCCTAATTTGTTCATCGATAACTATAAAAAAAAATCAGTTTTCAATTACTATGGTTAAACTGAAAAGTATTTTACGGCACTAATCGAATTTTAGTATATAAAATTTTAGCGCACTAATCGAGGGATGTCCATATATAGAGCAAATAATCCACCGATTATTTCTGAGTTCTAAACCTGATTTGGATTTGTGTAAAACTCAGAACGTTCAAAACGTTCGGGTTTCTGTTTGGTCATTAGCAATTTAAAAATCTATCAAGGCACTTTTTTTTTCAATCCAGGTTTTTGTCAATGTAGCAAGGAGAACTGTTCCGCTAGAAGATAATATTTCTACCAAGATAGTTCCCTGTGTAGTGGAAAGCAATCCTCAATGTTTGATGTACCCTGGCATCGAATAGCATTTAATAGTTTTCAACAGTAAATACTGAAATTTAATTGACTGACAAAAATATCCTACTAAAATGCTTTCGTCATCTTGATTTTTGCCTGTCCTCAACGGGCAGATAAGAATAAAGACTTTTCACCGGAATGTCTAAGATGACTTGGATATCTAACGACGACCTCTCAAACCTGTTTTTATCATAAAAGATCGTTTTGTAAAAAGAACAATCAAAAAGTCTTGTAAGAATGGTAGCTAGAATCTTGTGTGAAAATAGTTTTCAGTCGAAGATGCGTGTTAAAATCATTTCGTTTTAATCCACAAATTTTTAATTATTGAATGATTCAGTAATAACCAAGGATGACTGATTAAATGTTGTGTGTTGTATGTAAATTAGCGGGAAATTGTATTGAACTCTTTTTTTTCTGCATATTCGCCTCTATTTGTTTCCAGTGAATGTCTTTGTATTTCAGTGAATGCATTTGTATTTAAGTGAATGTCTTTGAATTTAAGTGAATGCATTTGTATTTAAGTGAAACCGTAACAAAAGAAAAAAAACTTTTGAACTATATCTTCTATTTTCTTTGATGTTACGATTTTATAAATACTTCAGTTTCGAATTTCAGTTTTCAATAGACACCACTTTATGTCCAACACGATGGATACTATTACAATACTATTTCGATATTATGATACTATTTGGGCTTTTATATTATGTATGATACTACTACGAACATGCTTTAAGCATGGAACCTTTTGGAATGGGAGCAAAACGCTTACTTTAATTTCTCTTGTGTACACTGAAGTCTGTAAATTGCATCATTTTAACCATAGACGAAACAAATTGAATACTTTTAAAAATCTTTTCGGTGGTATTATTTTATTAGGACCAGAATAACCCCAAAAGAAAAATGAGGTATTTTTTTTATAAATACGCATCGAATTTCTTTCTTTCTTACTTAATTTCATTTTTATTATCTTCCCCAGAAAATTACTGCGGTCCAGTAAAGCCGATCAAAAATGGACGTGTCTTAAATGCAACTGGAGTGCTCGTAGGAGATGTGGCCCAGTACAGTTGCGTTGACGGTTACACAATCACCGGGAAAAAGATCGTGAAATGTCAAGAAAATGGCCAATGGGAAACTGCCCCAGTTTGCAGTGGTGAGAGAGAAGGAACTTTTATGTCAAATGGCTGCATACATAAATGTGACACATTAATACAACTGATATAATTTACTTATATATGTAATTAGTACATACACACGCACGCACTCACACACACACACGTGTGTGTGTGTGTATGCGTTTGTGTGCATGCATAGTATCTGTATCTATAAATATCTATCGTGTATGTATTTGTATGTGTATATATGCATATGTATAGTGTGCATATATGTATAATGCGTGCATCAATGTGTGTGCGTATATATGTATATATGAATGTTTGTGTATATATATATATATATATATATATATATATATGTATAATTTGTCTATGTATATGTTTTTATATATGTATATATATGTATATGTCTATATATATGTCTATATTAATAGTTTGTATATGTATGTATGTGTATATTATGTATAATGTGTGTGTGTATATGTGAATATATATATCTACTTTGTTCTTGTTAATGATAAGACCACTGTTACAAGGTCTTCCTACATTACACATCCCTGCCTAAATTTAGCCATAAGCAAGAATTTTTGTCTTTAATCATTTACCTTAACAACATGGCCACCTCATTAGAGTATATCAAGAAGGCCTCTATGCTTTTTATATTACATTTATCAAAAAATTGCTAATTTGAGACTTTGTCTTTCCATGTGAAGCCCCAGATATTTCTAAGTCATCTCTTATGGAAAATTTCTATACCATGTATAAACCCATACAGCAATGTTGGAATGATAGCTGCATAGTCAACTGAGATTTTGGTTTTAAACTTAGTCCTCTCTCATTCCAAACTTGCAGCTTTTCAAAGGCATCACTAACCTTGTTAATTGTATTTACTATTTCATCATCTAAAGAAATACTTGAGTTGATTTTGCTCCTGAGTATAGGAAAGATTTCATGTAGTTGAAAGACATTTTCTTCCCAAAACTTTAATGTGGTAGTGCGCTGTATTGGGGCCAATGTAGTATTATATCACTCCTTTGGACAGGTGTAGATTTTTGACTGATATATAACTTCAGCTGGTGTGTATATATATATATATATATATATATATATATATATATATATATATATATATATATATATATGCCAGAACAATGTTAAGAAAATCAATGGCAAAAAATTTGTGTGAGTGTCTGATTCGCCAAGCCCCCTTCCCTCGTTGGAACTTTCTCTTTCTGATTCTAAATAAAAGTTTCTTTTTTGCTTTCATTTTTCTTAAAATATCCTCATTGCTCACATGTTTACTCCATAGAATTCTCAGCATCCTTATTAGCTCCAAATGGAAAGTTTTAAATACATCGGCTGATAAATCCATGAATAATTCTCTCAAATAATGTAAAAATAAAAAGAAGTAAATCCTGAAAGAATAAATTAAAATTAAAAAAAAAAAATTATCTCATCGTACAAATTTAAAAATAAATGAAAAAAGCGAAATTTTATAGCTGACAAGTTCCCCCCATCCCGATACTGAAACATTCCAAACCTCATCAGCAGTACGGCTAGGGTTAAACGAGAGTTCTCATCTGTTTAAACTAAAAAAAAAAAAAAAATTAAAGTTAACATCTTTTTTCAAGACTATTGGAAAAATATGAAGTTTCAAAGCACAATTTCTATTTCGCCTTGAACAACCGAATATAGTTGTGTTTTCCTTTTTATTTAACTGTCCCCTTTTCCCTCAAATTCCTTTTAATTCCTTTTTTTTGTCTTATCTCTTTCAGCCACTGGTTGTCCCAGCCCGTCCAATATAACCAACGGTCAAGTGAATATTACGAATGAAACTGGAACCAGCGTTGGTTCCATTATACTCTACACATGTAATGCTGGTTACCAAATTGATGGTGTGCCAATTTCCCAGTGTCAGAAATCAGGCAAATGGTCGACCAAACCTCCAAGTTGTAAAAGTAACAATGGCTGGCATTTTTAAAGCTCCTTTTGTCTCTTGCATTTATTATCTATCAATACTTTTGATTTTTTTCTTTCTTCAGTATTTTTTATCAATCATTTTATCCCAAGCAAGGCGATAATGCCACTGAGACGTATGATTGAGAGCGAAAGAAACTTATAAAATATTATTGAAGAGAAAGAACAATAAAAAAAAAACAGGATTCAAATGGCACACAAGATGGTAACTGGTGTTGCATTTCAATTATTGAAGATCATTATTGGCAGAAAAGCAAGAGGCCAGAAGAGTGTTCAGCAACTGATAAATGCGAGTGAAGAAACTATTAGCATAGAACTTATGTCTAGTAAATTCATCAGTAAATTGAGACCTAGCTGCCAATCTAGTACTGCACTTAAATTCATAATATCGAAGTACTAAAGATAAAAGCTCATCAGAACAATAAACATGAAAAAGGGCATAGGGAAGCTATGCTCTGGTTGCGGGAATGGGATTGAAATCGAGATACCAGGTTAGAAACGATAACGTTGCAGATTCTTTTGATTAATTTGGTCAAAAATCTTTAAATGCATAACAGAAATACCAGAACAGATGTGACAGCAATATTCAATGCAAAGATGAATCGTTGATTTATAAAGGTGCAAGATAGATTCTAGCGAGAAAAAATTGTCTAGCACGACACAGTGAACTAACTTTCCTAGCAGCAGACCGAGAAAATGATTCGATTTTTCCACTTCATATCATTGGAAAACGCTTGAACGATAATATATAATGGATTTAGATTTTTTTTCAAGCTTACACAAATTCCTTTACTAATTTTAAAGATCTCACTGGAGATACAACATTTAATCAATGCTCCAAGAACAGACGCATTAGAAAAGTGAAAAATGAATAATGGGAAATTGGAATCAGCTGACCGGTCTTCGTTTCACTTTCTTATCAGAATTCAATTAAAGAATTCAAATACTGTGCACAACGACTAAAAGAAAGGGTGGGATGAGTATAAGAAATACGCAAGTATCAATAATATATTGACACATGTATACTTATAAAGAGCTCACACTGTGATCCAACCAACATGTTTTGTTTACATAAGCAAACCCGTTCTTTATCTAATAAAAATAGTCTCAAGAACTTTTAGATGGAAGTCAAAATGTAATATATTTAACACAGAAAACATATCTTGATGGTGAATCGATGCACATTGCCTATTTGGAAGAGGTTCAGAAATTGAAGAAAAGGATGTAACAGAATACCGTCTTACCCTCCCCTTTTTATTAATCGTTCAATTTTTTTAATTCCTTGTTCAAGTTCTGATGACAGAAGAACGAAAACCAATCAACTCTTTCTAATATTTCTTTTCTTTAGTTTTGTATTTTACCATTTATTACAGTTGCGAATTTATTTTCTTTTATTCAATCTTCTTTTCTTTTTTAATATTTGTGTTTTTATAGAACTGAATGACTAGTTTTGTTTAGTTTCTTTTATTGGTGATGGAACGGTTATTAAAAAGATTTTAGTCGATTTAATCCTCAACTGTTAAATAGGAAATTTCTGCAATCTCTTTGAGTTTGGGAGATAATTTTTCCTTATTTATATTTTATTTTCTCCGTTGAAATATATGGAAAAGAATTGTCGGTGATGGGTAGACGTTGGCATGGGGAGGGTGCTGACTGCGACGGGTAGGCATTATAGATGAGAATGTCTGTTCTTAAAGAACAGTAACAAATTTTCTGTTTCCAAATAAATAATGAAATAGATTATCTCCACCCATTACAGAAATATGTTTGAGAATAATTTCGTATTGATCGTCGATAATAATAATAATAATAATAATAATAATAATAATAATGTCCTGTTGCTAATCTGGGTACGACTCTAATGGGTCCTGAAGAAATTTGTTGGAGATTCTAAAGTGTACGGTTTTTTTTTATCAGTGACTTAAAATAGGCTCCAGTAAATATCCCGTCCATTACTACACATTATCTGACGATAATCTGTTGAATATGTTCCTTAGGGGCCGATACATATGTTTGAAGAATGAGGTAGCCAAGGTAACTAGTGTATCCTATTTTGATACACAGGAACCCCTTCAATCGGAAAGGGAACTGCAGTGGACTGGGCTACTCAATCTCAACGTTTTTCTAACTGGGCTCCATTTGCAAAGTTATTGCACTGCCTCTATATTGCGCACACTTGGTTTTCATCCCTTTGAATGATATGCCCTTAAGAGACAGGTTGTCATGATGGCTATATTGGGCTTCGTATAATTCCACCCAAACGTCACTTTGTTACCATATGGTTCTCTCATTGATTAATAATAATTTATAAAATATGAAAATCTTCGAGAAAATTATAATGATAATTTTCTTTTCATTTTTGGTATACGAGGTTCCGCTTAAGCAGGACGCATTTTGGATTCCGAATTTTGGTCCGTATAAGCGGCCAAACCTTTAAACGGATTTTCATGATAAGGACAATTTTATTTAAGAATTGGATCCTGTATATTACTATTAGTCTTATTAAGCGACTGTTGCTGCTTAGCTGGGATTCACTGAAGATTTTTTTTTATTTCAAAGAATTGTTTTTGATCCATTTCGATTTTCATCTTTTGAATATTTCTACATTTTTCTTTTTTTCTGACAGTTCTACAATGCTCATCGTTTGCTCTAGAAGGAAAAATTCCAAATTCCAGTCTTCAACCTGCGGGCGATATTGATGTGATGCAAAGTAAAAATGTAACTTGTGACAATGGTTATATCCTGAACGGCACCAGTAGAATTGTGTGCCTGGAAGATCAAACTTTTAGCACACTTCCCACTTGCGAAGGTCAGTAAGCAAAACTGAATTGCTTAAAACCGTTTAATGATTTTACTGTTTCTTTATTTGTCTATTTCTAATTCTTAGCAGGAATTTCTTCCTCGTTTCTCACATGCCCTTTCCATGGTATTCTCAATATTTGTTTGTAGAGACAAACCTCTGTTAATTCTGTTCTTTCTGACTCTGTTAGCAGTTTTTTTTTAGTTTCTATTCTCTTTACGTTTTCCTTTTTGTATATTCTCGAAGCCTCCTTTTTTCAAATTAAGTTTCTGTTTTCAGCTAAGTTGCACGAGGTTTAACTCTTGCTTCTTTTGCTTTCAGTGTATCCTGTGAATGTTTAATTCTCCGAACCTTTTCTCATTCCAAAAATTACAGGTTTCTGATTGTTAACAACAATTTATGTGCCATTCTTATTCGCCTTATAACTTATTTATTACACACATGCTTAAACCATTCGCCTTATTCGTCAGCAGAACCACATCTCGATTCTCTCAAGGGTTTTTTTTATCTTCATTTCTGACGAACCTTTCCAACTTTAACTACTATATAGCAAGGTAGACATTACATGGTGTCTGATATAAATTTGTATCCAATTTTGACGAAAGCAGTGATGATCATAATACTAACAACATCACCTCGTCAAAAACCGCCTGCTCCTGAAACCAAAGATGCGGCCCATGGGGTGCCTACAGGAACCCAGGATAATGATGATGCACATCTATTCAGGCATAAAATCTAACTCCTTTCGAATCATAAATATACTGATTTCAGTGTGTTCTATATGCATTCAATTTTGGCTGGGGAAAGAGTTCATTCAAAATCTTCTTGGAACATATGGACATGTTAAATTTGCAGGCTCTTAATATAAAAAATAAAAATGAAAAAAATGTAGAAGTTGATTTTAGGTACCTTGTCTGAGAACGTAAACGATGAAATATTCAAAAGCGTCTATGCGGCCTTGTGGGAGATGAATTATTTTCCACCTTACAACCCCTTTCCCACAGATGAAACGTTGCAAGCATCTCGCTACACTATCGCTATATCCATGGCAAATTGCATTACCATTGCCGCCACCAGCCTTGACCTTTGCAACTGGGACCCACCATGTTACGTAGAACGAATCAGCCTCATTCCCTTCGTATTCCATGAGTCAGGAGTAAGTTCCACTCCGAGGATAGCTTCTTCTCAAGAACTGCTCTTGTTGCTTTGTGGAACATACGCTCGGAAGGATTTTTCCCCGATTGTTACAATCTTAACCTCTTCAAGTCTAGGGTTAACCCTTATCTTTCCTACATAATCTCATGAACTGCACTTCTTGCCTGCTCCTATGCGACACTAGACAGTAATACTCTACCTTGGGTGGCTCTTAGTCCTTGTATTTGGAGAATATTAGTATAAACAATTATTTAGCTAAAGATTTCTGTTGAGAGTAGGCCACCACCTTTGCTTGTATGCTAGTCGAAAAATTATTAACCTGACTTTTGTCGGTTTTTCCCGACTGCATCCCTGCGCTGTGGCAATACTCAAGACAAGAACGTGAACGTAGTCAAGTCTTACAGAATCAAATATAGATTGGCTACTATTTAGCAATCCTTAAATTGAGTAATAAAAAGGAAGAAGGAAGGAAAGAGTAAAAGAGAAAGAGAGAGGATATTTTGAATAAAAAAAAAGCAATTTCGAAGAAAATATTTTGTCGAATGTTTGATATTAATGGGCTTAAATGCTCTTTCATTCTAACCAACATCCTGATCATAGTTGTTATAGTTGTTAAAGTTTTGGCCGTTATATGCTCCAGCCTTCTTCAGGTGTTTGTTGCTGTAGCCAATAACTTCCTTGGAAGTTCGAACCGATGACTTTTCAACTGACTATTGAGTTATGGTTGTGGTTAAAACATATTGGGTTACCTGGTAGTTGTAAGTTCAATCCCTGGGTCTGGTAGTGAAAAGTAATATACACAGGTTCAGTGTAAGAAAAGGAAAAGCTCAAAAAGATGAATAAGAGTTATTGGTACTGAATGATACGATTTCTCCCCACTGATTGATACGAGTTCTCCCCACTGATTGATACGTGTTCTTCCCACTGATTTTACGAGTTCTTCACACTGACTGATACGAGTTCCACCCACTGAAAGGTTCGTGTTATCTCCCCTCAGCTTGAAAAGCAGAACAAGTTCAATCTACTTTCTTCGATTGAATAAAGTTTTCGGCTTAAAATTGCAAGGAAGTTACCGATTCCACATACGAAGAACTATAAGGGCCATAGAATAACAACCTGAGAATTGTGATAAAAACAAATAAACAAATGAATGAAACGTCAATATAATTGTCTTTTGAAAGTCTGTAGCGTCTTACGATTAAATTATTTACGATTAAAGTATTTACTTTTTAAAGTATTTAAGATTTAAAGTATTAACGATTTAAAATATTTTTTTCTTCATGTGTCCTGTTATTTTCTTTTCACAGATATTGATGAGTGTCAGCCATCATGGAATTTGAGTCGATGCCGTCAAATCTGTGTTAACACACCTGGTTCTTTTTATTGCAAATGCGAAGAAGGATACAAAATGCAAGCAGATAATTTTACCTGCCAAGGTAATTGTGATAACAGCACTCTTTGAAATTGAAACTACGTATTTCCGTTTTTATTTCACCGAATCAAAGCGATTAATTATCATGTTGAAATTCAAATCATACATCAGAGAGTGAAACGTGTGAAAACAACCTTTACTTGTAATTTCCGACCTACTGATAAGCAACACCTGATAAAGTCCAATGTAGCTTTTTCAACTGAATTTTAATTTAGTTAGAATTATATCTAAATTATACTAGGAGAATGTCAGGACAATAGATCACCGTTTCACACACACACACACACACACACACACACACACACACACACACACACACACACATATATATATATAGAAGGGAAAAAAACATTATTTCATCAAAATCTCCATCAGCAAAATCTCCATCAGCAAAATCTCCATCAGCAAAATCCATAAAAAAAAAATCCAGTTTTTGCAGTTGCGGTGGGAAGCAATTGAAATTAAGATGACAGGGATACTAGTTATAAATTAAGAATAGCTGAATAAAAATTTCAAATAGTACCACTAGTGCAGCTACTACTATTAGTTGAAATACTCTTAGTAGAAATAAACCAAGTGAATTTAAAATGAAAGAAATCCCAACCAAAAATGAATAATGACTGACAATGTTTCATATATTGAACGTCAAAATAATACTATTAATACTACTGTTACAAATAGAAATAAAGCAATGAAAATTAAAGTGAAAGAAATCCCAGTCAAAAATGAATAATGATAATACTTCATGAAATAAATAATCAAGATAATATTACTACTACTAATAATAGAACTAATTGACATTAAACAAGTGAAATTGAAGTGAAAGAAATACGAATAAAAACATATCTAATGCTTAAGTTACGGTTGTCAATTCTTCAGTTAATAATGAAAGAATGATATTAATTCCTCTTTCTTTTTCCACACTCAGATATAAACGAATGTAAAATCAACAATGCAGATTGTGAACAGATATGCACAAATGTAGAAGGAAGCTATAAATGCAGCTGCAACGAAGGATATGCCCTCTATGTTCGAAATTACACCATGAATTATTCCTTACCCCTTGGGGATAGCGGAAAATCGAGCGGAGATGTATTTTACTTGAACCATTCCTGTGTCCGTAAGTGTTTAAACATCTTTTATTCATTGAATCTATGTTAATCTGTATGTTAACAAAAAAAAAATCTAGCATTCAGTCTTTGGCCACAGGTACACTTAAGATTATTATACAGGAGGACACTGACCCTGGTCAAACGATTAACTGCATAAAATTCCTGGATGGTGATTTCGAGGGACTACTAATTGGATAATAATTATCAAAATTCTCAAAAGAGTGGGTTGAACGGTTGAGAAAATGTTATAGTGAATAGACTCTCCCACCTAATATAAGTAGGAGTAGTAAGAGAAACGAGGGTCAGTCGATGTCCGATGACAGTAGTCGACAGTTAGTCGAATACGAAAGTAGTCAGCGACCAAAACAAGATTACTCTGCGTAATACCTATTATATCAAGTTCCTAACGTTTTGTACATCGAACTATTCAGGACCGATTTAGCACAAATACAAGCCTCCACTGCGAAATAACTCCACAACAGAAAAATATAAAACGAATTAAGAATTACGTTTTAAACAATAAAATAAATCTAAGAACGGTTCCAAAGAGAATCGAAACCGGATTTAAGTAACTAAAATTCAGTAAAATTGAGCAAAGCCAAAGTTCCTCACCCTTTCCAATTCCCGCCGATAAGTAGACATGATTAATGTAATGTCCGAATGTTTTCGTCATGAGAAATTAAATTTGGGGTTTTATTTACATTCATACTATCTATCCAAAGTAACTAAAATTATTTTAAACAAAGAAGTCACCTTGGTTATATCTAATTTCCAAACTTGGGGTTTGTTTATATTGATGCTATCCGCCCCAAACGCCATATTCTTTACACAAAGAAAGGACAAAAAATTCTAAATTAAAGAGAATGACATATGGTTATTGAAATTGTTGGGTGGATAAATTAGATATATCAATGTCTAATTTTAGGTGGGTTCATCTGTATTAACGAAGGCCCACCAGGCCTGAGAGACACACGGAGAATCGAGACCAACAAGGGGAGTCGTCAGATATTTACTCCGGTCGCATGAAGTGTAACCGCCTCATAGGAACGCATTCGCATTTCTATGGCTGGGATGAACACACAGGTACATGCATGATGGAAGAATTGAGTGGGAGCCGACTGTCTGACCATTGCTTCAACAATTACTAGAATTTTTTCAAATCCCCATCCAGTGGATATACATAATTATACTGTCGATAATAGAGACATATTATTCATTATTTCTTTTTATTCGTATTCAATAAATCTGTTGCGAGTTATCAACAGAGTTGTTTAGTTTATTCTTATTCCTCTTTTGATTCCATATGTTGAAGCTGGACGTAAAGAAATTACCGTTGACATAGTGTTGTCTGTGTTACACAACTTACATTAGACTTCGCCGTCAATCCCAGTAGTGTAGGATTTTGGGAGACCCGAATCAACTTTAACTAGAGGACACCTCGCCCCCCATCAAGGAAGGAAAAAGAAAACCGGATGACCTGGAAGGTCGGTGTTACTCAGCAAAGCTAGCGACTGAAGACGAGGAAGAAGACGAGAAGAGAATGAATAGCGTGTAGGTTACAAATACACCTCCAAGAAACTGATTTAAAAAAAAGACTCTTGAGACAGGACAGATCTCCTGAACATATGGAGGAGTGATAATGATTTCTCAGTAACCTTTCGTACATATACATACGTATGATATTAATAGAATATTAATGTTGACTTTCAAATCTCTTTCACGCACTCACTCACACGTGCTTACTCTCTCTCTCTCCCTCACTCGCACACAATCGATTTCTATTTTTTCCTCAGATTACGTCATTTTCAGTAGTGTGCAGTAACATGAATCTATTTTCGGTGTGTATGATGGAATTTTTTTGGCCGTGAAAAATATTGCGTCATCCTTGATTGCATTAGATTTTTATCACATCCAGACACCACTGTCTCGACTCTCGATTAGTTGTCCCACGGCCATTATCTGCGACGGACGTTACTCCAAGGAACGCACATGCAGTGATATCAATGTCAGCAGATATCTTGTTAAATAAAAACATGTGAGCTATCACAAAAATTGTTACAGACGATTTTTGTCCTGATGATTATCAGCTAAGTAGACTTCACAAGGACCATGGCAAAAGATCTTGAAAAATGAGATCACTGAATGAAGCCAGACTTTGATAAATTACTTTATTCTTAGACAAAATAAAACAAGTACAATGTTCTCTATAAGAAAGCGGTCCCGACCAGACTAAAACAGAGACAAAGAGAGACCCACAGAGAGCAAACAGAGAGAAAGTCAAGAAGATCGAAAAGGAAGACGTGTCCGTTATACTGCTCATCTCTGCCTCGCTCGTCTATAGCAGTTATTTATAACCAGAATAAAATTTCCTACTACTACAATAGTCTCATGGCTTTTGTTTTATGGGTAACGATTTTGTCAAAGAATTATTTTAAAACCACAAGTATCGAGTTCGATCATCGCAAGGTGCCGCATAAACTTTGTAAAGTCAAATTAACATAAACAAGTTTTTTTTATCGAATCTGAGTGTCAAATTTAATCTCGTACAAAATCGGATAAACAATTTATATATGTAAACATATTTTGTTTCAAGATACTTTTTCATTCTAATTTCAGCTGTCCTGTGTCCCGAGCTGGGTAAATTGCCAAATGGTTACATCCAACCGCAGAGAGAATTCAGTCATTTTGGTGACACATTCTATTTTTCTTGCAAAATTGGATTCATCCTGAAAGGTACATCAAACGTCATTTGTTTGCAAAATGGTAGCTGGTCATCAATAATGCCGACTTGTGAAGGTAAGTTAACGGAAAAACGGAATTTAATGTTAAAAAGTAAAAACTTGATCCCAATATAGTCGGCTGTTCGTACACCCTTGTGCAAATGAATTGAAGCAACCGCTTTAGTTTGCTTTCTTACACGACAGAGACAGTTTTAGACCCACTGGAGTGACAGGGTGTAATCGATTTCTATTTTTTCCTCAGATTAGTTCATTTGCAGTGGTGTGCAGTAACATGAATCTATTTTCGGTGTGTATGTTGGAATTTGTTTGGCCGTGAAAAATATTGCGTCATCCGTGATTGCATTAGATTTTTATCACACCCAGACACACTATTGTCCCGACTGTCGATTAGTTGTCCTACGGCCATTGTCTGCGATGGACATTACTTCAAGGAAGCGTACAAAAATTGTAATGCTTCATGAACACATTAGCAAGCCTTACTATATATATATATATATGCCCAGTCCCACACTGCATAATCATTTTTCTTTCTTTTTTGTCCACCATATTGTTTTTCTCACAGTTTGTCACTTTGGAATAATCTGATCAGATCGTGCGAATTAAGATATTAAGGTGTTTAATATATATTTACTACATACGCACATATATCCACTTGCTAAGATGTCGAGAAAATATCTTTTTCGTCATTAGGTTGCTGCCCTTTTCATGCCCTTACATAATGTCTTACCTGGACTCTCTTTTGTTTACAGACGCCACTTGCACATCTGTTCAACAAAATCCTAGTGACATCCCATACCTCGGCTTTTATAATTTTTCTTGTGAAGTCAAAGGTAAAGCAAAAGAAAATCGACAACGTCAGTGTCTCTACAATCCATTTACAAATACATACCAACTTCTTGGAGATTCCTATGTTTGCGAACGTAAGTGTCATACGATTTTTTTCTATTTAAATACTAATCCTTTTGCCACTGTATCTTATTTTCTTCCTCTTAAACATTATTAAATCGTTAAACATTATTAAACTGAACGTTATTAAACATTATATACTAAATATTATATATAATCCGCCTTAATGAAACACCCTTTATATGATAAACATTAGATATTTAATATGATATAAACATATATTAATCATTATATATTAATCTTTATATCTGTCTATATTTCTGAGGTATTGCAACTATTTACACTATTTACAGCGAAATAATAGATTTGGTTCGAAATTCCAACTTATATCACCTGAAGAAGGCCAGAATGTGCAACGGCCGAAATGTTGTGAATATGACAATAAAGATGAGAACAGTCTGAATGATGTAAATAGTGTAAATGAGCATTATATATCATGAACATTATTAAATTAAATTATGATTATTAAATACGACCACAAAGGAAAATATTTTGGGGTAGTTTCTCTTGTTTCGTATCAATGAATGAGTGGTTCGTTTAAGAGTTTACAAAATGTGTCCTTAGTGTTTTTTCTTGTTTCACTATTATTTGTTTTAGCACTTTCGACCATTCTCTGCTCATCCTCAATAAGGAAACATATATATGTTTATAAAGTGTGATGATGAATTAAAGTCACTAACTTTACTGCCTACAATACTAATCCCAAATATTTCTCCACCTCCCTGATATTGTTATCTAAGTCATGTTAGTTGACTATTTCCATGAAGAATCCAACCATTGTTCCAATGATCAGATCCATCTAATTATTACTTTGATCACTAAAAATACAGCTGAGAGCTCAGTTTTCATGTACTTCTTCGCTTAACATATTTCTCTTTGTGATAATTACTTAAATAGGGTTTCCAATAGACAACAATTCTTCTAGGTTTGGAAATTAGGAAAAAGAGAATTTGATATTCAAAAGACATCACGAAGGCGTGGAGATCAGTGGGTAACATCGAGTAACCCCCGTAACTACAGCCTGTCTGAAGTTATTATGCAAATCAAAAACCTCACTAACCCCAAAATTTCTAAACCAATATTTATCAAATTTAAACCCGTCCATTTCCACCCTTAGTAAAATCATTATTGAAATTTTCATTTTAATGGGTAGTTTTTTTAGATATTTGGAATTTGTGAAAACTGACTAATATTAGCTTAAGACCTGCAATCTAATAAAAAAAAGTATATTTTCTTTTTGTCCATAAAATATGTTGAAGCTTGGCTAAAAGGAGGGATCTGCTGAAAAAACAGAAAATAACAAAATTATTGAGTGATTGAATGTCCACATTGGAGATATCAAAGGGGCTTTTCAGAGTTCATCGGCTGATAAAGAAGGTTGTTGAAAATATAAGTTGAGGACTCAGAGTAAAGGAAAAAGTTTTGGAAAAGGAAACTTACTTTCTAGAGATAAACGTAAACTAAAGCAAGATATAGCGAAAAAAAAAACAATTTTTACACTCTATCTCTGATATTGAGCACTTTTACATATATATATATATATATATATATATATATATATAATTTTCTTCCACCGAATGAATTCGAATCTTCGTCGCCACTTGTTACGGTCCGGTTCCTTGTACCACGGTGATAGTCCAAGGTAGAACCAATAAAGAAGAACGCGGACACAGGTATGGAATAAAACAGATATATTACAAACAGGAATATATACAGAGAAGTAGAAGTGTTAGTATGAACAATCAGGTTTAGTAGAGAGAACAATGTAGTCTCGACCAGTATCACTATTTCAATGTCTTGCAGTAACTGTCTGAACGCGACTCTGTTTAGGACTGCCTCTGACTCGACACTTGACTCGACTTGAACTACTGACGATATTCAGTCACCCCCCCCCCCCACGAGGGTGTCATGTGGCACAAGGCCTTTTTAACGTGGGCATTTCCGAGCCATTAGGCTCGGCCAAAAAATAGCCCATTTGAACCCGTATGAACGGGTTCAGGGCCGGTTTTACCTCCCTTTTTACCTTTGAAAAGGCTGGAACTGAGGAAGTCAAGAAGGACAAAAGGTGTAGAATACTTTGTGAATTGGGATCTTTAAAAATAGTCTAGGCAACCTTACCATTCAGTCCTTGGATTCGGTTAGCCGGTCATTTTCTCGTTGAGATGGAAAGAAGAAGGAAAATAAAAATTCTTCATTGATTTCTCAAGATCGAATCTCACACACCAGAGGAAGGCAATCGATAAAAATGTTATGTTAAAAATATGAAATCAACACTACAAAGAGATTATGGAATACTGAACGCACATAATTTGGGAACTTAATACAAATCTTTGGAAGAATGTATGGCAATGCTAAAATAGCCGTTTTTCCCTACATCATTTTTACATCTCGCTATCTCAACTGTAAAATGACGAGACCTTGCCGTCACTCTAATACTGCGCTTAAATTCATAAAGTCTCGGTACCATAGATGAAAGTTCATCAGAACAATTACCATGAAAATATTTACAGAAAAGGCAAAGGGCAGTTACATTACGGCGGTGGGAAAGTGACTAAATCACGGATTTAGTCACTTTCCCATCGCCGTAACGTAACTTCCCTTTGCCTTTTCTGTAAATATAAGGTGTAATAATGACAATGCAGCGCCTAAGAAATTCGAAGGTCAAAGAAAGTCGTTTCAATGCTTATTTAGAATGTAATTAATACAGCGGACAGAAAATCTGTGGAATAAAGAAAACCCTTTATCTGTGAAATTCAGAAAACAATTAAGAATTAATGCTGCGAATCGTTTTTTCTTTCTTTCTTTTTTTTTGATTTCTTTCTTTTTTGTTTCTTTTTTGTTTCTTTTTCGTTTCTTTCTTTTTCGTTTCTGTCTTTTTCGTTTCTTTCTTTTTCGTTTCTTTCTTTTTCGTTTCTTTCTTTTTGTCTTTTTCTTTTTCGTTTCTTTCTTTTTCGTTTCTGTCTTTTTTGTTTCTTTCTTTTTGTCTTTTTCTTTTTCGTTTATTTCATTTTCGTTTCTTTCTTTTTCGTTTCTTTTTCGTTTCTTTCTTTTTCGTTTCTTTTTTGTTTCTTTCTTTTTCGTTTGTTGCTTTTTTGTTTCTTTCTTTTGTGTCTCTTTCTTTTTTGTTTCTTTTTTGTCTCTTTCTTGTTTCTTTCTTTCTTTTTCGTTTCTTTCTTTTTTGTTTCTTTGTTTTTGTTTTTCCGTTTCTTTGTTTCACTTTCTTTTTTTGTTTCAATTATTTGCTTATTTCTTCCAACGACGACAAAAACAGAAAAAATATCGAAATCTTCGTTTTTATTTTTTTATGGTTTTATGGTCCAATTTAATTTACTGCTCAATATATTATTAAATTCATCCTTGTTGTCTGAGAGTGAAACATATCAGCTCTAACAATCATTTGAGATATGCTAAAGAACATATGGGCCAAATATTTTTGCTAAAAATAAAAAGTTATTACAATACTCCCCTCTCCCAAAAGAATCTTAGGAATAATGAACATTATTGATTTCATATAAAAAGGACGACCAGATAATATATAGACTGAAATAATGTGTTAAAATGATGAAAAAGTAAACCATTCGTTATATGGAACAATGAACAAGTTTAATATCACAACTTTAGAAAACGCATGATGAAATTTTTTTCGTGTATTTGACTTTTTCTCCTTTGTGTGTTGATGACAGAATCTTTCATTTTATTTTGAATTTAGAAATTGACTGCGGCCAACCGGAAAATATTCCCGGATCATTAAATCCTAATGTGACCAACACAACATTTGGCAGCCAATATGAAATCAAATGTTCTGACCTTTACCGCCTGAAAGGAAACAGTAGCTATGGAAATAATATTTGGTGTGGCAGTGATGGCCAATGGAACTATGGAAATCTCAGATGTGATGGTCAGTACAAGTTCGCTTAGATCCTCACTAATATCAAATGTGACTGAGAGCAGGGTCTACGGGGCGTAGACTAGACATTGGGACTCTTATAGTATATCTACTGAGACTAAAAGGCAAAAGAGAATTATGCCTAAGATAAAATAATAACTTATTGCATTATACGTTTATTATATATATATATATATATATATATATATATATATATATATATATATATATATATATTGAACAATAAAAAATATTAAAAAATTAAAATCTTCATACACACTGGGCTGTATATTAATATTCCTTCGTTTTTATTATTATTTCATTTAGATTCTTCGACTAGTTTCGGCGAACATGGCCATCATCAGGAGAAAAATAATTTTCTGCTTGCTGGTAGCAGTGAACTACAGAAATGAATATCTTGATGGAGAAAATTAAATTTTGTCTTTAGTTTTCATTTGTTTTTTTATGAATTTTGGTCAGTCCTTGTGTTGGTCAAACAGCCTCTTTTAAGTTGTTATATAAGATAAGGCTGTATGAATTCTCTTGGTCATTTTGACATATTTAGGCACGATGGAGTAGTGGATAGTGGCTCGGATTGAAGAATCGGAGGGCCGAGTTCGAATTCCAATCGAATCCATTACATTCATTTACGTGCTAAATACCCTTGGGAAAGGTATTAATCTTCTTCTTCTCCCTCCAACTATGGGTAAATAGCAGGACAGACTGGGTTCTATAGCCTTGGATGGCCATAAAAAGGACAACTCTGAATCCAAAACCTGCGGAAGGTCGTTTGGGGTATTGCCCCAGCTATAACGCTCTTATTCGGCCCTTCAAAACGTGTGGTTGGTTCTGCACAAAGCCTTCACCACTATAATCAAATCATAGGGGCTTGTGTCTGGGCTGCCGGCTCCTAGGAACTGATCTGCTTGACCCTCATACGGCTCCACTATATATATATATATATATATATATATATATATATATATAGATAGATAGATAGATAGTGGCCGAGTGATTAGAACGTTCGCTTTCTGACTATGAGATACGATTTCGAATCTCACCATGGTCGATTTGTCAGGAAGGAGACTTCTTAATGTTATCAATCTGGAGAAGGCTATCCCGTTGGAAAGTACCTGAAAGCCGTACCTTTTGAGTGAAATTGGGTGAGTGTTTGTGCTAGCAAGTCCTCTTGACCGAGGGTTTGAACGTGCTTGCCTTGATCTTGTTTGATAACACACTCTCTCACAGAAACCGTAACTAATGTCCGATCAGTATAGTTGCAGGTGGGTTAGTTTAACAAACCCAAATTTGCCTGAGCAGGCGTCTGCAACAGGGATTAGCTAACCGCCCTCGTGTACGAGTAGCCACGCATTTATATGTTGAATTGAATGCATTAAGTTATATACATACGAAAAATTTGAAATAATTTCTTTTTAATAATCAATCTTTATCCTTTGAGACGGGAATGCCCTGTCTGACTTGATGATACGTTTGTTATTTTATAATGGCTGCCTACTCTCAAGAATCTTCCAGATATATTAATACGAGTTACAACTTAAGGGAACTGTAAAGAGGGATGCCAAAATACATTTAGTATTTCTGTTAACTGTAAAAATCCAAAACAATTAAAAATGACATAAAGACGGCACTTACAATTGGTTTGCAACTCTAAAAGATTACTATCTTTAAGTTAAAGTGAGGTTGTCAGTTACCATATCGGAATAGGATTTGTGTCCCAATGGTGTGAGTCTGGACGTTGGTGGCGTCTCATCTTGTTCCAACCACTTCTCAGGTTCGGACTAATTCTCTAACTTTGCTAAGGGCACAAATTCATTTCGGTTGTCCGATAATTGTGCCAAGGACTCTAACTCAAATCAGTTTTCTGTTTGATAGGCCAGGGTTCTAGCTAAAACTCTACACGTTCATATCATTGCCAAAGAAATTCATAAAGGTAGTTTAATATATAAAGCCCAGTTTCTCTGTTCTTCTGTCCTAGTAATACACTGAAAATTAAAACACACACATTCATACAAACACACACATATATATATATATATATATATATATATATATATATATATATATATATATATATATATATATATATATATATATATATATATATATATATATATTAAAAATCAGGAGTTCAGTTGAGTCCGCTACTTTGTTTTCAACCTTATGGTATCCTCAGGCGATTTTTATAAAAAAAAAGTTAGTAGATTTTTGAAAAAAGGTTGAAACCAAGTTAGCGGATTTAACTGATCTTTAAAGTTAAAACTCTGCATGTTATTTTTACTTTTATTTTTTCACACTTGTATTGAGCACTTTTTAATAATAGTTTCCTGGTCTGATTCAACTCTGACTATTAAACTTTCGTGTGTGTGTGTGTATATATGTATGTATATATATATATATATATATATATGGGGAAAATATATATATATAAAATAGGAAAGAACTTGTTAGGTAAATAATCCGAAGTTCTTTAGTATTTTTGTTTTTCAAAAACGGTGCTCAGTACAAAAGCAGAGCCTCAGAGGAAACATATTTTTTTTAAATATTTAGATATATTAGATATCCGATTGCTTCAAGCCAGGATCGAAATTCGACCGATTTGTCAGCAGTCAGAGATTCTACCTCTAAGCTATCGGCTCACGGTAGAGAAAGGGTAAATTTTCATGTATTATATACGTGATGTATACAAACGCCAGTAGTGAAGAGCGTTCAATTCATCACAGAAGAGCGATGAAAGTCACTTAATTACTTAGAAACCTCATCAACAAAACAACCGTTTATTTACAAATATCACAAAAGGCCATAATGAAAATAAACCACAAATGTTTTCTTTTTATTTGATTCTTGAAGTTGAATGTGAAAATTCAAAGAGTTTAATTCAGTGGGGACAAAGATATACGACACACATACCACTCGATGTATAAATGTCTTTTTTACACTAATTTCGGGATATGATCAAAGTGTAGTAAGTGTTTCTCTCTCCCCATAACTGAACGAAGACATTCTGATCACAGGAATTCCAACATTACAGCAGCATCTCTTTCATTGTACTAAAAAAAGGGATGGATGGATTTCATGATACGGCTTTTACCAACATACATACATACTTTAAATTTTATATATTGTAATGAAAATCTGCTGCTTCTGATTTTTATGTTTTAATTTTTTTTTATTTAATATTTTTATTATTTTAATTGTTTTTGATATTTTAATTTTTGTTATTTTAATTTTTTCATATATTAATGTTTTCGACATTTAAATTTCTTCAATATTTTATTTTTTAAAATATCTTATTTTTTTTCTCTGTTTAATTTTTCTATATTTTTTCTGTATCTTATTTTTTCCATAGTTTTCAATATCTTTTTCTCATTTTCTATATTTTTCAATATATTTTTCTGTTTCTTATTTTCTCTGTATTTTTCTATATCTTATTTTTTTTATATATTTCATATTTTCCCATATCATATTTTCTATAATTTATTTATTCCTATATCTTATTTTTCCTATATCTTAAATTATTTAAGTATTTTTTTTTTTTACATTATTTACATTATTCGGACTATTGTCCTCATCTTTTTCGCCATATTCAGGACAACGTTTCGGCTGTTGTACCACTGTGCCATGTGTCCTCAAGGCGTTGGTTAGATCAAGTGACAGAACCCAAAGAGTGTGAGTTCAATACCCGGTTAAGGCAGTGGAGAACTTGGAAAGATGAATTAACAGGAGATAACTGATAACTGACATCCATTAAACATGGCACGTGGGACTAGAACAGTCCAGTGAGGACATAAAGGATTCAGTTCGACATTCCAAACACCTGAAGAAGGCCGGAGCGTACAACGGCCGAAACGTTGTAATAAATATGACGGCAAAGATGAGGACAATAGTCCGAATAATGTAAATAGTGTAAATAATACCTCATCTCAAGAAAAAAAAGAAAGATTTTTTTTTATATTTCTTAATATTTTTTTTAATATTTTTCTTTCTTTCTTTGTCCCTTTTTCTTTTAGGTGTGCTCTGCGGCTACCCTTCTGTTCCAGCTGAGGGTTCAGTTGAGGTGCTTGGATTCACAGAAGGCAGCATTGCCATCTACAACTGCACCAAAGAAGGTTATGCCCCTTTCAACATCACCAAACGTAAATGTGTTAAGGACAATAATAAGGGCCTAATGTGGGACCAGCACCAGCCGACATGTGTTGGTAAGTGGCCATCTTTATTTGTAACAGACAATCATTAATTACGGTCTATCTTTTGTAAAGTGTCAGGTCGGTACCACCCAGTGTGGTAAATCATAGTCTCATATGGATCACCTGCCACGTGTGACAGACTAATCGAAAGAATATTGAATAGGGGGTGATTGTGACTCGTAAATCCCAGTTGATATAGAGTAATGCTTGTTATGTCAATAATAGTGGCATATTAAAGTAGCAGAATTAAAATTACATTTTTTAATTTCAATTATGGAGAGCATAGAATCTATTTACATTTATGTAAACGTTTATGGTTAAAGAGGAAAGAAGACAAAAGAATTTGTATTAAAAATGACATCGTAATGACACTTCATAATATAATTCTTCGAGTGCCTCCTTCGCACATCTAATATGCCCTGTCATTACCACAGGAAAATAATGAACCATTCCGGTTTGATTGTAAAGAAAGACAGACGGAAAAGATATATCAAAGACGCTGTCCGATTTCCGTGAGAAAAAGAAGACTTGCATTCATCAGTATATTAATGCTATTATTATTATCATTATGTAATAATAATAATTATTATTATAGATCAGAAGATCTAGTAGGATGACGTAACGCCTGCTCCAGTAATATATGCATACTAATATTAACTGTATTAGAATGATAAAAATTGGATATATTCTCTGTTACTTGATTTAGCTCTGTTGAGCGAGGTTTGAAACCGGTTTAGCTAGCCCGTTTTTCAGTTTTACTTATCATCATCATGAGTGGTAATAATAAAATTAATTTTTGTCTATTTATGACAGTTATAAATATATATATATATCTCCAAATATAGAAGAACGAAGAGTAAGATTTCAGCGTTCAAAATATTAATTTAAAACAGGGCTCAATACAATAGTAGAGCAATAAATATTTATTTATTATGCAGTGTTACATTAGAATATTGCACATACCCACTACAAAACTGTACATCTTGTTTCAAAGTCTAAAAAAATGTTAACGTTTCATCAGGTGGGAAATATTTTTTCTCGACCTTTATTTCTTTTTCTTGGCCTTTTTCCTCTTTCTCTTCTCTCTCTCTCGCTGTTACTAATAACTTCGATTCCTTTCTTTCTCCACGTGTAATTTTTTTGTTTTACCTTTTATGGGAAACTTTCCAATGACGGAAGTGGAAGACGTGCTTCGTTAACTGCATTTCGGGATAAAATATTTTAGTAGCATCGTGATTTCCCACCTGATGAAACGTTAAAAAAAATTTTAACGTTGAAACAAGATGTGCAGTTTTGTAGTGTGCATGTGCATGCTCTAATGTAACACTGCACAATAAATAAATATTTACGGCTCTACTTTTGTATTGAGTTCTGTTTTAAATTAATGTTTTGAACGCTGAAAACTTACTCTTCATTCTTTTACATTTGGATATATATATATATATATATATATATATATATATATATATATATAATGGATATAATGGACTCTCTCGTCGGTTTCGACGTATGAGGATCTGCCAGCTTATTGATTCAGTTATGAAAGTTTATGCGATAATCTTAAGTGGCATTTAAGACCCGCTAGTGATTTACAAAGGAGGCCACATATGGAGCAGGTGTGAGAATTGTAAGATGAGATCACTGTTAGATTGGCTGACCTTTTAGATCTTGCTCTCGCTTCTTGAAGATGATTCAGATAAGCAGATTGAAAATTTCTGAGTCCACTAAAACACGTTGATCTCCATTCTACACGCTCCAAGGTTAGGCACTGAAAGCATTCTACATGGATGTGCAACATTGGAAAGAATTTAGTTTAAATGCATGCTTAGATATCAAGCGTGATCTCTGATTTGTCAGCTAATATGCAGTGTTGTGTGCATGTTGTCGAGGGCATCATAACAACTAAAGGCAAATGTTTGCAGATCTATATCTGGACTAAAGAGGCACACGACGAGACACATCATCGTTGTAGGGCATGTAGATCCAATCAATCAAATCAGGGATACAGAGTTTATCTGCTATACATGCATGATGGCTATGAAATAAAATGCTGATCTAAGGTGTCGTCTTAGGGGCCGAGGACGCCGAAAAGAAATGATAAAAATTACAAGTGAAGCACAAAGTGAGGGGAGGCTCACTTCCGAGTAAGATGTGAAAATCACCATAACTCATAAATGTAGCGTAACTTAAAACTATATTTTATCAGATATAAAGATTTAGCTAACAAAAGACAATTTGAAGTAAAAAAAAAACAAACAAACAAAAAAATAACAATAACATCGTATTTATTTACATTATTCGGACTATTGTCCTCATCTTTGTCGCCATGTTTATCACAAGGTTGTACGCTCTGGCCTTCTTCGAACTGAACCCTTTATTTCGCTCGCTGGGGTAGACTGTTCTAGTTCCACGTGCCATGTCTAATGGATGTTCTGTTAATTCCCCTCTGAAAGTTTTCCACTGCCTTAACCAGGTATTGAATTCACACGCTTTGGGTCCTGTCAGTGGATCTAACACATTTATCCACTGTGCCATGTGTCCTTGAGGGCATCTGTGTATGAATTTCTGGGTATTATAAACCTAATGGCTTCAGTAACCATTTTTACCATTGCTCATATAGCAATTTTTGCTGTTATTATTGCATATTTTTTTTTCTCAGAAATAACGACAGATCTTCATTATTGCCGTTATTTTGATAATAATTTAAAATTTTATGTATTGATTTATTTATTTTTACAGACGTACAACCACCAACCGTAAAAAATGGGACTTGTGATGAAAGTACCAATTTGGATAAATACAGTGCCTTAAATATTCCTCTCCCGGAATTTGCTGATAATTCAGGAATATTCACCGTAGAAATCGACCCGAAAGAAGCGATTACCGGATTTGTAATCACAAAGAACATAACTATAACATACACCGCCAAAGACAAAGAAGGTTACAACATTACTTGTTACAAAAATATTATTGTGGAAGGTAATTTTCTTTTGTATTCTCGAATATAGTAAAGATGATTTAGTAGATTAAAGCATTGGCGGAAAGGTTACCGGATTGCCTGGCAGCTATGAATTTAGTCTTAGAGTCTGGTAGTGTTTAAAAATAATCATACTCAGTGGAAAAAGCGATACAACGATGAACGATGTGCCTCTCCTATCTGATAAAAGTTGTCCCCCCTATCTGATACTAGTTGTCTCCCCTGAACACGGAAATAAGAATGAGAACAAACTCGTCCCTTTGGATTGAATCAAGACTTCAGTTCAAAAAATTACGAAAATAGAATATGAAGACTAACAGCTGATGAAGACCACAGAGTACAATGGCCGAAACGTTGTGGCTGAAACAGCCAAGATAAGGACCCTAATTTTTAAGGACCCTAATTTTTGAGGCCCGTAATTCTTAAGTCTCCTAATCATTTCGGTTATTGTACTTTTGGGGATTTTATTTTCGGATGTCTGAGATCTTTAATAAACTGATCATTTCGTATCGAATCCTTGAACTAAATTCTTGCTTATTCTGAAAATGTTAGAAAATACGACTTAAAGGCCGGATGACAGAGTCGGCGAAATGTTCTTCCGATTCCAACCAAAATGATCAAACTGAATTTGTGTAAAATACTTTTATATATCATGTTAATCAGTTTAATGCCTGAAAATACTGCAGTTTAATCATCAATTTTGGATTTAAAAACTTACGTAAATTTTGAAAATTTTTCATATACGCCTCGGAATATTATTTTTAATTACTGACACACCTCAATTAACGACCGCGTTTCAACAACCTAGTCGCTAAATGAGAATTTCTACCTGGCCATCATTTTCAGGCATACTACGCGTGCAATGTATTTGTGACAATCAGTTTCAGGTAGCTTAATGTCAGTTTTGCACCATTTGTAACATATGTAAATGTTTATACAATACAGTAGTTATTTACACAAGTTCGGACTGTTGTCTTCATCTTTATCGTCATATTCACGACGTTTCGTCTGTTGTACGCCCTGGCCTTCCTCAAGTGATATACTTTGGAATTTCGAACCGAACCCTTAATTTAGTCCACAGGGGTAGATAGTTCTCGTTCCACGTGCCATGCCTTTTCTGGATATCTCAGTTAATTCCTTTTAGTAACCCAACTCTTTAATTTTTTTCACCTCTGCTATGGCTATTGAACTCACAACGCCTTTATCCATTTGTTAATGTAATCCAGTAACTTGACACAAAGAGCTGTGAGTTCAATACCTTGCTGAACAATTTAAATAGTGCAAATAGTTACAATATCTCATCTCAGAAATATAAATAGATGTTCAATACAATAATGAACTGAAGAGTGAAATTAATAGAAAAAACACGCAAATACCTCTATATTCTGTAAACTACTTCGATTTGCATAAAGGTAATTATGTACAATGTACGAGAAATACGTTAAGAATCCAAACCAGAACGATCAATAAAAATGGGAGGCTGTGAATGTTGGTCGACTGGGTGATAGCGTGTGTATATCTGTGTGAACAAGACTCTCCTTGAATCGCACTGTAGTATTCTCACGATTAAATTAATCATACAACGTCCAGTACGGACTGTACACTACTATATTTATGTTCAAAGGATTTATATTTGGTCGTAAGTACGAGTGATCATTAATCATGCAGGTCGTTAAGTGAGGTGTGTGACTATATTTGTGTGTGTTGCACTATTCTTTGCGAAACCTCGATTCCTTTTTCACTTCGTTGACAGAGTATCTGTTTTCTTTTCCAGATCATCCGCTGCAAATCACTTGTCCTTCACATCTGACAGAAATTCTGGAAAATTCTACTGAAACAAAAAAGCTGGTTTTTAACTCAAATCTAGTCAATGTTACCGGACCTGGCCCTTACGACATCACATTTACACCAAAAGAATTAAACATTAGTGACGCTAATATCGACAGCCTAGAGCCTGTGGTTGTTGAAGCTTTTAATGGAAAAAAGAGAGTCAATTGTACTTTTTATGTGGACGTTCAAGGTAAAGTATCAGTAAACTGGATCTGTTAATAAATCATTGCCAATTAAAATGTTCGAGTTTTTTTAAGGGAAATGACGTCATGGAGAATTGAAAATGGTTACGATCATTAGAAACACAAAGCATATCTGATAAGACTGCATACATCCTTGTGCAAATTACTTGAAACAACCGCTTTAGTTTCCTTTCTTTCACCATAAAGACAATTTTAGACTCTCTGGAGTGACAGGGTGTAATCGATTTCTATTTTTTCCTCAGATTATGTCATTTTTAGTGGAGTGCAGTAATATGAATCTATTTTCGGAGTGTAGGATGGCATTTGTATATTGCGTTATCTTTGATTGCCTCAGATTTTTATCACGCCCAGACACTACTGACTCGACTGTCAATTAGTTGTCCTACGGCCATTGTCTGCGATGGATGTTGCTCCAAGCATACGAAAATTGTAACGCTGCACAAACACACTAACAAGCCTAACCAGTGAGCAAATCAAAGTACTAGACAGGCCTGGAAACTCTCCCGATTTAAATCTAATTGAGAATCTGTGGTCAATCTACAAGAAATGACTCCGTGGAATGGACATACGAAGTCTAACATGTGCACTGAAAAATACGAAAAGAACTAAATAATAATGGAATTATTCATTTTGTTTCAATTAATTTGCTCAAGGTTTAGTTTGATATTGAACCTCTCTTAACGGAAACAAACGACTTTAATTTGAAATCTAATCAATTCGTTGGGAAAAATTTGGCAACGTTCAAAGGTATTGTAATTTGGCGCATGTACGCTGATGACTGATGAGGTTTACAAAATTTGTAAAGTGGTCTGGAGATTTTTCTTTTTTTCTAAAAATCGAATCTTCCAGCTCTCTCTCTATTTCGGTTCTATGGATATTATCTGAAAGGCGGTTGTTATACTTTCTCTGCTGTCATATCGTGTAGACAATGCCACATGAGGTGCAGGTCTTCTATAAGAAGACTCTGTACCATTTTTTGTTACGTTCCTGTCTTGTAGTCATTTCATGGAAGCGTAATAATTTATTGAAAAAAAATCTTCCATTTGCCCATTGTAGATGTATTTTGGGAAGCATATCGTCTTGAGTAGTTTGGTTTTAGTAAAAAAAAATGGTACAAATAACGTCGTATTTCACCAAACCCTATCGATTGTTTGGTGAAATACAACCAAATTTGTTTTTATTAATTATCAATGACGGTCAACTGATATCAGTGGTGACTACAGACTCATTCATTTTCTATGGATCGAACTATTCGTTCCCCGACTTCTTTCTCTCTCTCTCTCTCTCTCTCTCTCTCTCTCTTTCCTCTTGTTCTCTTTTTATCTTTCAACATTGGACCTCTATTACCGTATCTTTCCTCCTCCTCTTGTTTTCTTCTTTCTTCTTTCTCCTTGTTTTCTTTTTGTCTCTTTTTTTTTATTTCTCTTTCGTTTCCACTTGACTCTTTCTTTTTTTTTTCTGGTCAGTTCTTGTTTTTCTCTGTTTTCTTCTTGTCACTTTTTAAAAATGTTTCTCTGTTATTTTCCACTCGCCTCATTGTTTTCTTCGCGTCTCTCATTGTTGGCTACCGCTCATCTATTTACATATCTGAACATCCAGATGTATTTTCATTCTCTATAGTTGAAATAACAAAACAAGAGGTTGCAGATAAATAGTGTATTGAACAGTAAATACAACAGAAGTGCGTTACACGACTTGGGAGTGTGTCTGTTGACCAGCGTTCAATCTATACTACGGTTCCCCCGAGGCTTACTTTCCTACTAATTTTATAGTAAGTGGAATAGTCCACAATAGACTCATTAGAGTGCGGACACCACAACATATATATATATATACACAACACACACACATATATATACGCACATTTTTGTAATATTATACATACATATATATATATATATATATATATATATATATGGAGGTACGGAGTTCGAATTCTAGTCGAATCCATTACATTCACTTACGTGTTAATACACTTGGGAAACGTACTAACCCTCTTCGCTCTCCAGATATGTGTAAATAGCAGGACATATTGCCTTCTATAGCCTTGAATGGCATCTGGTCTTGGAGGACAACTCTGGATTCAAAACCTGTGGAGGGTTGTTTGGGGACCTTGTGGCACATGGTGCACCAGGTCTCTGTATTCGGCTCTTCAAAAAGTGTAGTTGATTCTACACAAACTGTTACTGTTTTTAAGATATGATCGTAGGAAATTTATTCTCTAAAAACAGTAATTCAAACTTTGCTAACCAGACGCTTCCCTTTTAGCTGAGTGATATAGCACGTCAGATCAAACGATGGCTCCGTGTAAGATACAGGTTAGATTCCTGTCGGAGAAAATATATTTTCTACGAAATTCTCGGACTCGGCCGATAAAACTAATTAATAATGTTTATTATAAACACAGCCTTTACTTAAATAATTGTATTTATAATTATAACGTATAAACAGAAAATATATTAAGATAATTGTCGGACTTAGTCCATTTCATGATATATATATATATATATATATATATATATATATATATATATATATATATAGATAGATAGATAGATATGCGAGTTTTGTTATCGGCTCCGAAAAGGAAATCAACATGCCCAGTTTATTACTTTTCACACAAATCTCCCTGGGAAGATATGAATCCATTTCTCACCATCAAATTATAAATTCAAAAGTAGGGCTGACTGGACTTCCTAGCCTTGGCTACCAACCAGTCTTGGAGAGCAGTGTAGAAACTTTGTAGCAGATTGTGCACCATTTCCCTCTTTCCATTTCTTCCGAAAAGTGTGGCAGGTTCTGTACATGACTTCAACAACAGATTCAAATTTCATGTGTGGGTCATCTACCGATTCCTCCCTAAGAAACTGAACCGTTGGACCCTCATACGTCGAAATCGACGGCAGAGTCCATTATGTAATATAGACAACCTCCGCGTCTACATCTATATTTCTTCTTGTCCTTTCACCTTTAACCCCGAAAGGAGTCATTGAGAGCGTCGATATTCTGAGCAGTCAACTAGACTCCATCTGTCGCAGTTGTGTACCAGAGCCTGGATCTTTACGAATGGTTTCTTCGAGTGCTTATCATGTGGCGTGTCTTGGGCATTTTAACCTGGCAGAGCCCATCTCTTGCCAGGATATACCCGTGTCTATCAATATCCAGGTTTATAGTCATTTATCTGTTTTTTTACTAATGTATCTCGATCTCATCTCTAAACATTGTTCTTTTTTTTCATAGCCAAAACATGTTCAGCTGTGTCAAGGCCACAAGTGCAATATGCAACTTGGAGTTATACAGACAACTCGAATGTATTCACATGTAAAGATGAGTACAGTTATCCCGAAAGTAAGTTACAGAAACGGATGACGGCGCAGTGCAATTCTTCATGGAATGTTCCTTATACTTCTTGTTCAAGTAAGTTATTTTGATGTCCGCCACGTTTAATCCTTACAGATTTTCTTTCTTCGTTATAGCACATCGGACATTAAAATAATCATATTTCTTATCTCGTTCCTATATATTTACCTATATCTTATATATATATATATATATATATATATATATATATATATATATATATATATAAGTGAATATTGAAGTCAACTCTCAGAAGCGACCGGCTGTTTCATGCTAGACACAAACGTTAGGCTGACGATTGCATCGAGCATGAAACACCCTGTCGCCTCCGAGTGTTGACTTCAGTGTTCACTTTTATATTTATATTTACATACGCTCTATCTCTGATATTGAGCACTTTATCCCATAAATATAGCACACCTTAAAATTATATTTTTTTATATATATATATATATATATATATATATATATATATATACCTATCGCTTATCTATAATTTAGCCAACGATAGTCTAATAAATTTTATTAAACAGCGAATTGTTTCTGTCTATATTTCTGGGATGAGGTATTATGATTACTTGCATTATTTACATTACTCAGATTGTTATCCTCATCTTCACCTGAGCCGACCAAGCATAAAAATGAATACAATATAAGAACCAGTAATAAGGATTGCTAGAGAAAAGCAATGAATAACAAACACAAAAATTGCAATATAAGCTCTTGTAAAAATGCAATAATAATAACAACAGAAAGTTGCAATATGAGCACTGATAAAAATGGTTGTTTAGACATTAGGCTTATAAGCCAAAAAAAAATCATTCAAATATTTCGTCAAGGACAAATGGCCCCAGTGGATAAAGACGTTGGTTAGATCCAGTGACTGGATCCAGAGTGATGTGAGTTGATTAACAGGACACAGCAGTGGTAAATCAAAACTTGTAGTTGAAGGGAAATAACTGAGCCATCCGGCAGAGGCATGGCACGTGGAACTAGAATAATCTACACCGGTTGACGAAATAAATGGCTCGGTTCGAAATTCCAATCACCTGAGGAAGGCCGGAGCGTGCAACGGCCGAAACGTTGTGAATATAGCGATGAAGATAGGCATAACAGTCTGAATAATGTAATTAATGCAAGGGAATTGTTTGCATTTTATAGTTACCATTTTCCGATTTTAAGGCAAGAGGATGAATGACTAGATACATTGATTGATTTCAGAACAATAATGAACTAGCGCTTTCGGCCATTCATCATGACATTGCCAAGATCAACAAAAGTATGGATGGTATTTTTAATCTAATATTGAAACTAAATGTGTGTGTGCTTGTGTGTGTGTGGTCATGCGATGCCCTGAAAATTAATGGCTACGGAAATCGTGACACCGAAATCCGCGGGTACATTGAAATAATAAAAGATGCCTTCCGAAAGCTAAACAAAATATTAATAAACAAGAAAATCTCGAAAAGAAAAATGTTCAACTGGTATGGAATATAAATCCTCTTATATGACAGTGAATATGGCAACCATTCTATCGCAGGTGATTTAACTCTACAGAAAGATGCTGAGAATGACATAGACAGAACATATGAACAACGAGGATGTTTTAAGGAAAATAAAAATATAAATAGCATTTATTTTAGAATTAGAAAGAGAGTTTTGAAAATTTGGGGGCACAGATGTGGAAAGTGCACTTGGAGAATTTGACACTCACAAGACATATTCGTAGGCAAAAAGGCAGCTGGAAATTACGAAATCTACCTAACAACTTTATGTAAATGGATGGCAGAACATGAACTGAAGTAATATTGCTTAGAATTACAAAGGATAGGACGTTGTAGAGAGCCATGATCGTTCATATTCGGAATTGTTGCAAATTTGGTCTCTTGTGATCTTTATTTTAGCGATTGTTTTTGTTGTGGATTCCGAGATGAAATACGGTCCCAAATGAATGACAAACACCGGAATGAAATATAGCAAATAAATGTATTGACGTAATAATACAATTCGTAATACGGTTAGTAGATCCAGAAATGCGGTTAGTAGCAATAATAATATATATATATATAGTCTGGGAAATTCAGTATCGAAGTATGACTTCCTTCTGAGTCTACGTACTCGCAACTGTGGCTCCTACAAGGCGGTTACCTCACACTCTCACTGTATCACTGTATCAGTGTATCTCTCTATCACCTCCGGGTAGTCACTGGCAGCAGTACAAGTACACACTGGGCGAGTCCACTTGTATGAAAAAGGGGTGGACCCCTTAACAGTTTTGTTGATAACATTTAGAATTAAATTGCTTAGTTTTGAGCCGCTCATTAGTACAGCAATATGTTTGAACAACCGACAAAATTGGATTCATTAATATTTACTAAGTAGGAAGTCAAGTTTTCATAATTAGTTAAGTAGCCTTCTCAATCTTTCTGTCAAGTAACAACAATGAATTTCTGGTTTTAGTCTGAATATTTGTGTGAATTGCAAGCATTTTTATTTGTTTACTGAAAATAAAACGAAATAATTTTACATATTTGAATTTTTGATTCTTGCATATTAAGTTTTTAATATTAGCCTTTTTTTCTAAATTCATTATTTACGCTATTTACACTATTGACGACTATCCTAATCGTTGTTGTCATCATTATAACGTTTCGGCCGTTGTATCCCCCGGCCTTCATCAGGTGCTTGTCGATCCCGAATAATCTTCATGTAATGTTGAACTGAACCCTTTATTTAATCTAAATGGCTAGGTAGTTCTCTTTCCGCCTTTCCATGTCTAGGATTATCTACACTGTCGGAAAACTATCCGGTTTGACCAGCACCTGACTAAGGCCGAAGAGCACACCGGCCAAGTTGTGATAATGACAACAAAGATGAAGACGTTTAAATAATGTAAATAATAAACTAATCATCTCAGCAATTCAGACATTTTAATTTTGTTTATCAAAATAAAACTTTCTGTTTATAAACTAGAACAATCAAGACAATATCGTAGTCGACACCTTTATCTCGCATTAAAGAATTTAATTTCTATTTTTTGCTGGTCACTTGCTTTAGGATGTTAACAACAAAGTAGACCAATTCTTGCGTGGAAGAATAGATAGCATTGAATGCATGGTAAGGTTGGTTGGAGGACGAGGTTGATTTTATCCAGCCTTTCTCTCTTATTGTTTGAATTCTTCCTTTTCTTTTCTGGGTGCTTCGAAGATTTTGGTTCTGATTATGATGGAACCCCTGCCGAGAATAACGTCTCGGTCTTGGGTTTCAAACAATTTTAGCCCAAGCCCAATGACTTCCATTGTTATTTTAAGAAAGTCTTGCTATCTTCAAAGTGGTCAGAGTTTCCCTGAAGCGAGCTCACTGAAGAAGACTTGATCAAGGTAATATATAACAAGAAAATTAACTACTAAATCGCATACCTATGATATATTAAATGGAATGTTTAAAACGTCCATTTACTAATGACGAGAATATGACTCGCCAATGCAGGGTTAAATATAGTTATTTTCTGCTCTGGTAACAAGCTTGTTAACCATTACACCACGGCGAAGTTATTTCCTAAGCATTGCTTAGATGTGGTACAAAGCCGAAAGTGTAGGGTACCCAGTGAGTTTCGAACTCACTTTTCAGCCGTAATCGATCTAGCGAGACAAGCTTGTTAACCATTACACCACGTCGAAGTTATTTCCTAAGCACTGCTTAGATGTGGTACAAAGCCGAAAGTGTAAGGTATCCAGTGAGCTTCGAACCCACTTGTCAGTCGTTATCGATCTAGCGAGACAAGCTTGTTAACCATTACACCACATCGAAGTTTAGTTCCTAGGCACTGCTTAGATGTGGTACAAAGCCGAAAGTGTAGGGTATCCAGTGAGTTTCGAACTCACTTGTCAGTCGTTATCGATCTAGCGAGACAAGCTTGCTATATCAAGATGTCCTGAAGTTACCATGACATTCAAATACGGTTTTTACTACGGACTTGCATAAACTTAAATTATTTTTTTCCTTTATTCTTTTACTAGAACTCGAAAACTATGCCAAATTCTATGCCAACACAACATTCGTCTACAAGAATGATACAGCAGTCACTGATAATTGTGCAGAAGAACTTCAAACAGCCTTGCTGAATAGAATAATAATGAAAACCAAAGATTTATGCAAACTTCTGAATAACCATCCACTTCCGACGCCTCTAAATTCAACATTCAAATATATTTTCGATGGATCACAGGTAAAATTGTTGACAGTATAATTTCACCCGTCCCAAACTTTTAAACATGGCTGCAGTGAGATTTTTATTTCATGTAGAAAAATGTTGTTAATCTTTAAGTTCTCGGATTGCCAAAAAAAAAAAAATGTCTGTTTTCGAAATCAATGCCTCTAAAAATTCAATGCCCTCCTTTAAAGAAGAGAGAAAAGAAACCAGATCTCAAGTAAATTTCTTTCGTAAAACTCGCTGCCATGTGATGGTCGAACAAGGCCTGAATGACCTATAAGATGGTCCACTCGGAATACAAGATTGGAAATACATATTAGTATGTGATCGTCAGACAATCTGATTAATTTTGAAATAATAACAAATCCCAAATTTCAAAATTAAATCTGTTTGTTTGACGATCACAGATGACATGAAACTCAGGGCCACAAACTCACATCAACGCAACTATATATATATATATATATATATATAGGCATAAACACACATAAATTTTACACTGCATGTCGGAGTCAACAGTTCGTGCTCAAATCTACCACTTTAAGAATTGTCATTACTGTAAATGATAATAATAGAAATGAATAAAAAGTATAAAATTATCATCAAATAGACGAGATGTTTTAGTCTGAATGTAAATAATTCCCCATTACAACAATTGAAACAGAAAATCTTCGATAGATTTCTTTCTCCTCTGCTAATCAGTGTTGTACATTATTATTTTTCAGATTAATTTCACTGGTTTGATTACAAACAAGGCAAAGAAGCAACTCGGAATTTACACCGAAGAAATTTGCCTTAAGGAACTGCAAAAACAACTGTCAATGAGTTATTACAAACTTCACACTCACTTCAAAACCCTTTCAAGCAAATGCGGCAATTTAACCTTGGCAAATGTCGTACAGGACGTTTTTTCCATTTGCCCTAACACGTCAACAAGAATCGATTCAAAATCTTACGCCTACTGTGGTAAGTGAGAGGTTGACGCAAGATCCATCCGAAGGTCTATCTGTGTGTGTATGTGTGTGTTTGTGCGTGTATGTGCGTGTGTGTGTGCGTGCGTGTGTGTGTGCGTGCATGTGTGTGTGCGTGCGTGTGTGTGTGCGTGCGTGTGTGTGTTTGTGTGTGCGTGTGTGTACGTGTGTATGTGCGTGCGTGCGTGCATGCGTGCGTGTGCGTGTGTGCGTGCATGCGTGTGCGTGTGTGTGTGTGTGTGCGTGTGTGTGTGTGTGTGTGTGTGTGTGTGTGTGTGTGTGTGTGTGTGTAAGGCAAATCTTCAGTTGGAAGAATTAATAAGAACTAGGATCAAAGATTCCGGATGACGTTGAAAATAATTGAATCCGTTTCGAGAGAAAGACGAGAATCCATTTTTACTGTATTTTTTCTTGTTCATAATACGAGAAATATTGACCGAAAATTGATCTAAAAAATCAGCGTTAATTAAACGTCTTTTGTCTCCTTGTGACTCTTGTGAGTTTGGTTTATATTTTGATTTTCATATTTTTATAAAGTTTCCTCTCTTCATTCATAATGAAAGACATTTTTTTTAAAAAGCTCTTTAATACATTAAATATAATAAACTCATATCAAAAGAAAAGCTTGAGAGATTAAAATCTGTAATTCCGTAAATCTAGGTAGCAAATTTACCTGAAAATTTTCAAACGGAAATTACAGGAAACATGCAATGGCTACACTTCCGGGTCATTTCTATTCTGTAAGAGTGAAAAATTAAATATTTTAGTGAAATATATGTACGACATAGAGATTTTAATGGATCATACGGTACAACTTTTCAGAAAAGAAATTTCATATTCATGGTTTTACTACGGGTTGTATTATAATCAAGGATGTAATTTATTCCCTGTTTTTAGGTTCAGAAACGCCAGGTTTTATTGTACTCAAGGATTAAATTTATGCACTGTTTTTTAGATTCAGGAACACCAGGTTGCATTATAATCAAACCATGTTGTATTCTACTCACTCATGTAATTTATTCCCTGTTTTTACCTTCAGAAACACGAGGTTGTATAATACTCAAGATGTACTTAATTTCCTGTTTATAGCTTCAGAAACATCATCTTGTGTTATACTCAAGGATTTACGTAATTCCCTTTATTTAGCTTCCGAAAGACCAGGTTTTATTACACTCATGGATGTAATTTATTCCCTATTTTTAGCTTCAGAAACACGAGGTTTATTAGACATAAGGATTACTTAAATTTCATATTTTTAGCTACGGAAACATCATCTTGTGTTATACTCAAGGATGTAATTTATTTCCTGTTTTTAGCTTGAGGAACACGATGTCGACACGCCCTTAACACTCATTCCGACACACCTTTAACCCCCTTCCTGACACGCCCTTAACTCTTATCCCGACACACCTTTAACCCCCTTCCTGACACGCTCTTAACTCTTATCCCGACACAACTTTAACCCCCTTCCTGACACGCCCTTAACTCTCATTCCGACACACCTTTAACCCCCTTCCTGACACGCCCTTAACTCTTATCCCGACACACCTTTGACCCCCTTCCTGACACTCTCTTAACTCTTATCCCGACACACCTTTAACCCCCTTCCTGACACGCCCTTAACTCTCATCCCGACACACCTTTGACCCCCTTCCTGACACTCTCTTAACTCTTATCCCGACACACTTTTAACCCCCTTCCTGACACGCCCTTAACTCTTATCCCGACACACCTTTGACCCCCTTCCTGACACTCTCTTAACTCTTATCCCGACACACCTTTAACCCCCTTCCTGACACGCCCTTAACTCTTATCCTGACACACCTTTGACCCCCTTCCTGACACTCTCTTAACTCTTATCCCGACACACCTTTAACCCCCTTCCTGACACGCCCTTAACTCTCATCCCGACAAACTTTAAACCCCTTCCTGACACGCCCTTAACTCTCATCCCGACACACCTTTGACCCCCCTTCCTGACACGCTCTTAACTTTATCCTGACACACCTTTAACCCCTTCCTGACACGCCCTTAACTCTCATCCTGACACACCTTACCCCCCTCCTGACACGCCCTTAACTCTTATCCCGACACACCCATAACCCCCTTCCTGACACGCTCTTAACTTTTATCCCGACACACCTTTAACCCCATCTCCGAGTCGCATATTTCCTGCCATCCCTGACGTCCATTCTTTCCACACAGTCTGAATATGTACTAAATTCACATTCAACCTGACTCTTTTTTTTTTTCCACTCCCTTTTCAGTTTATTGTCCGGCCGGTTCCTATTACGATTCGTCACAAGATGTTCTCAATTGTACACTGTGCCCTATTGGCGAATATCAAGATCAAGAAAATAAACCTTCATGCAAGAAATGCCCGGATGGAAGGTCGACATATTTTCCTGGTGGATACAGTAAAGCAATGTGCAAAGGTAAGTAGTTGGTAGCAGTCAGTGAATATATGTGCAATATTCATTTCATAATTTGAAATCTGTTAATGAAAGCTGAGTATTTTTTGGGTTATAACAATTTAAGGGTGGGAAATAATAATGCTTGAGTGATACAAGTCTTACTAATTAACCCATAGTTAGGGGGAGAAGAGGTGGATTCATAGCTTTCCCGATGGTATTTAGGCGTAATTGAATATAACAAAGTTGACTTCATTTACTGATAACTGTCGGTCGAAAGTAAATATTCCGTAGTCAATTTTGCGTCAGGTCCAGCAACTGAATACGACCTCAGCTGACTCATATTGCTACACGAGCATTCGATTCGATATGATTTTTCCATGTCAACCCGACAAAGCGCAAATACTTCCTCTCTTGACAATTACATATTTCCTGGAGCAGCAAATATTAAAAGAAATTAAGCAAATGCAAGAATCTTACTAATGCCTTTAAAGAGTTATTAAAACCGTCAGAATAATGGTGCTTTAAAATGAACTTTGAAGATTTTAACACCAGATTTTACCGTTTTTTATTTAAAATCGACGTTAACAAGTTTCTGTTCTTGCTCTCTCTGTCGCGTTTTGTAAATGACATAAAGATTACCAGAGGCCAGGGGTTAATGCAACTGTAATATTGAGTGAGGCTATATTATGTATTTAATATCTGGAATAAAATATTTGTGTTCAAACATTACGTTTTTATGAGTATTTGCTTAAGATGTTTGAACGTGTATAAAATATAATTGTTGAAATTATAGCACCCACAAAGAGATAACTATTGTAATAAAAGTTTAACTGGACTTATTATTTTTTTTATCTGTTTGTCTTTCGACAGCACAATGTCCCGCTGGCTTCTATTCATTCAACGGTGTGCCTCCATGTCAAAGTTGTCCAGTGAACAGTTATTCAATAAATGCGACATATTGTGAAGTTTGTCCCAGCAATACAAAAGGAAGACAACATGCTGCACCATCAAAAGAAAGTTGCAATGGTTAAAAAATAATTTATTTTGTTTCATTATATCTTACTTTCTTTTCCGATTCTCTCATTTGCGTTCCATCTCTGAAAAAATCTATCATTCGCTGTCTCCTTTTCTGTCACGTCTGTCATTCGCTTTCCCCTTTTCTGTCACGTCTGTCATTCGCTTTCCCCTTTTCTGCCACGTCTGTCATTCGCTTTCCCCTTTTCTGTCACGTCTGTCATTCCCTTTCTCCCTTTCTACCACATATGTTATCAGCTTTTCCCTTTTGCTACTACGTCTATCATTCGCGTTCTCTTTTCTGCCATTTCTCTCATCACTTGTTTGTCTCTTTCTATCCCTCGTCTTTACTTCCCTCTCCACCGCCTCTCTCTATCTCTCTCTTCTTTACCCTCACTTTTTCGACACTTTCTTTCTCTCTTAATGTTTCTTTTCTTTTTATTTTTTCTTATCTTTTTTATGATCTCTTTTTTTCACTTCAATCACTGTTTCTTTTTCAGCCAAGTGTAAACCAGGCACTTACTCGTTTGACGGCTATGAACCGTGTCATCTGTGCCCCCGTGGTTTCTACTCCAGCAAAGAAATGCAGACCGAATGTATGGCGTGTGATGACAATACAACGACAGTGGCTGAGGGCACCGGCGACAAGAACAACTGCATTGACGTTGGTAAGGACTTAATCCTTGATCAGAAAAACAAATTCCTATTTGTTGTTGTACGTGTCGTTCATTTATTCTTATGGATTTTCCACGTCAACGTGGATTGGTCACATCTGTTGCACAGTTGCCACGGATCGGCATAACGAACACCAGATATTTGTGCATTGGGAAAAGTTCATTTGTATAATGACTTATTAATGTGCCTCTGAGGTGTAAGTGGGTGTTCGAGCCAAGGTAAAAACAGAATTTGAAATACTGTTTTTTCTCAAAGGACCACTATCAACTATAAACGATTTCTCCCCATATTTTACTGTCAGTCATATTATGTTGAGTTAACATCTAACACACTGATGATCTTTTTCGCTGGATCAAATGTGTGAACCTTTAAATAATTCAGAATTACATAAATGATAAATATGCATAGACTAGACATAATTGATAAACCCTGCCTTTCTGGTCAGAACTCTGGCGACCCTAAAGTAGAAGTGGTTTGAACCCGTGAGCATATTATCATGACAGTGATTGATTGTCTTTGTTTAAGAGAACAATAGTGGATGTTCGCGTATCGTAAATTGAGAACGATTTTCCGAGTTCAAATTCTAGACGAAGCCGTTGCGTTCAATTTCACACAATTAATTGTATGAATCCATCTTTTCTATGCCTTACACCTGCCTGTTATAGTAGGGGTTAATAGCAAAGCTGGGTTTCTAGATTTGAGTGGTAACCAGATTAGGAGAAGGAAAATACTGAATTCAAATCCAGGCTGAAAAGAGTTGGATTCCATCAGGGTATCTTGCTTTAGACACACCACTGCTGCCACGGCTGCAGTAAACATGGATGTCCTATGATCCAAAAGGATTACTGGAGACATAACATGATGTGACGATAAAACCGACAAACATGCGAGTACAGCCAGGATGCAACGTTGTTTCAACAGAGGGATACTAGCCATTATGTGGTGTGGTGGTAGACACCTAGCCGGTCCGTTAAGATCTGTTCTATTGTCCACTCCCTCTTTTCCCATTCAAAAACTGTGCTTCCTATTGTGTTACCGACTATCATTATGCGATTATAATTGACTAAAACTTCCTCGTACATGAAGTATGTGATGTAATGTTAAGTCCTTTTATGTCGAATTAGTGACAGAACACTGGAATCATATAAGATGGACGCAGTTTCTTAATTTTCTCTTTTAACGTAACGATGCAAGTAAATGTCACTTTTCAGATTATGGATATCAGTAGGGTTAGCACAAATAAAAAAAAAGTCAGATGAGTGATGTTATATTTAACACCATGAATCTGCAGTTTCGTAAACGAACCGTTATGCAATCATTCCGTCCACTCATCAGGAGGTTTTTCCTACGAATAATCTATCTCTGATATGGAGCACTTTATTGCAAAGATTACTTGCCTTAAATGTCCTGTATTTCAGATTTTCACCGAATGACAACATCATTTCTGGTTTCTTTGCTTTATATATATATATATATATATATATGAAGAAATATAGTCTTAAGATGTGCTATATTTATGGGATAAAGTGCTCAATATCAGGGATAGAGCGAGTGTAAATAAAAAACTGAACATAGAAGTCAACACGTAGAGGCGACAGTCTGTTTCATGCTAAACGCAATCGTCAGGCCACTAGTGCTCTTATTTTTCTCGGTTATTTATATATACAGGTCAGTAGTGCATTGTGGGTAATCTATTTTGGCGATTATATATATATATGTATATGTATGTATGTAAGTATGTATGTATGTATGTATGTACAGGGTGTCCATAAAGTTCGTGCGCTCTTTAAAAAATTTGTAAGTTTATTTGTATTTGCGATAGAAATAATCTGTAAAAATGTTATAAAGTTTAATGTACCTAATTTTAAGTATAGCTAAAATAACTAATGTGATTTCAGGCATTACTGTAAATTCGTTGGAAAATGTTTTCCGTGAACTGCAAAATCGTATTACCCTTATTGCTAATGATGGAGGACATGTGGAAACTTCAATAAAATCTTAAAAAATATAGATTTACTTCTTTCTAATCCTTTTTACAAATTATTTCTATCGGAAATACAAATAAAGTTATAATTTTTTAAAGTGCACACGAACTTTATGACACATTGTATTGGTGTGTTTAGGCAGCAAGAATTTGTTTTTCAAATGATGTCTTTATTCCAAACCTCCTGCAAACTATGGAAGGCCATAATTAGCTAAAAAGATTTTCATAAACAGACAAAAAACGATATCGTTGACAACAAATGTAGCAACACTCGAAAGTACTCAGAGAAAAATATAAACATAAAAAGTCTTAATATATATATATATATATATATATATATATATTAAGACATTTTATGTTTATATGAAAATTTCTCGGACATTCAGACCGATAAATGGTGTTTAATACTGTTTATTATAAACAGAGCATTTACTTAAATATTTATTTCTATAAAAAGAATGTATAAACATAAAAATGTCTTAAAACAATTGTCGAACTTTGTCCATTTCATAATGTGTGAGGTCATTTGTTTACATTTGGATACGCATTGAGCAAATATGAATGTACGAGAGAAAATCATAGAGAATTGTGTTTAAAAAAACCCAGTAAAATCGACCTTGCTAACCAAACGCTCCTCTCTAGCCCAATCGGTTAAGGCACGTCAGCCTATATGACGGTTCTGTATAGGATACAGGTTCGATTCCTGTCGGAGGACGCATATTTTCTATGAAATTTCTCGGACATTCAAGCCGGTAAATGTTAATATTATTTATTATAAACAGAGAATTTACCTAAATATTTGTATCTATAAAAAGAATGTATAAGCACAAAAAATGTCTTAAAAAGTAATTATCAGACTTTGTCCATTTCATAATATATATATATATATAATGATTGCCACTTCTTTACAAAAGACAAACATCTCTTATTACTTTAAAAATGAAGATTTGTTTGATCAGTAAGTATAAAAGGATCTTAAAACCATAAAATTAAAAAAATTATGAAATATGGTAAAAAAATTACTCGCAATTGCAAACAATTTATAAAAAAACTTTCGTTATTATTAAGTTGTAAAACATTTACAGTTAAAAGAATATAAAAGAAGGAAAGGTAGTAAAATAATAAAATGAATAACACCCAGTTAAGAAAGTTTTAAAACAAAAATAATATATATATAAAATGGATATACTAATGTATCAATAATATATAATGTTTGATACTTTGTTTTGCAGTGACAGTCCTTTGCAAATCGAATCCTTGCAAAAATGGTCAGTGCCTTCCTCTTAGACACCTGTTCATTTGTAAATGTTCTGAAGGTAAATATCAAAATTGTTTCTTGATTTTATTCTAGTTGTAGATAAATTCTTGGACACTCATGACGGTAATTCCAGGATGAATTTCGCCATAAGAAATTTCCTTTATAACACAATGTCTCTGCTTCGGGCCCCTATTATTGTTTTAGCATCCATATTTTTTATCATCATATTTCGACTGACACATTCTTCTTCCTTCCTCGTGTCTCTAAAGTTCTAAGTCGAAATATATTCATCCTTTTCGGAATTATTCAGACCCTTCTTCAATGTTTCCATGACAACATTTCGGACAAAGCGCTTCGGCCTTCTTCAGATGTTTTGAGTCTGGTAATCATTAAAAGCTACTAAATACTTTTTAATTTGAGTTTCTTAAACAGAGCACCAAAGGTTGACAATTCATAGAATCGAGTGAGAGTGAAGACTTTAGTTAGACTTGAAGCGAAAACGATGTACATATAAGAAGTAACTTTAATTTCCACGTTTTAACGCCCAAATACACTGCTCCCAAATTCTTTCATCTGGTGGATTTCATTAGAAGAATAAATTACTGTATTTACAATCTGGTTTATATGCGAAATATGGTTTTCAAGCAAGATAATTCGGCCCTAATTACAATGGCTGGTATCGTTTTGTTTTTTTTGTTTTTTTTTTATTCATTTTACGCCAAACAAGGTGACAAAGCCACTAAAACGCAAGGAATAATGAAAGTGTAAGAAATTGAGAAGACACTATTAAGAAGGACGAGATTTAAAACGGCATAAAATGATGAAGACCGTTGCTTTTTAATTTTTGAATATCGGATTTGAGAAGAAAGCGAACGAGATTTCCACCAATGTGAAGTGCAAGAGAAAAAAACATTGGCATAGAACTTACGATTACATCTCGCCATTTCAATAGAATGATGAAAGCTAGCCGCTAATCTAGTTTAACGCTTCAATTCATGAAGTCGTGGTACCAAAGAGGAAAGCTCATCAGAATAATTGCCATGAAAATATTTATAGAAACAGCAAAGAGAAGCCACGTTAGGGTGGTGGGAAAGTGACTGAAAGCGATATGCCAGGTTAGGACCGATGATATTGCAGATTACTCTTTGAATTTGTCAAGAATCTGTAGATACATAGGAATAGTACCAAACTAGACGTAGCATCAATATTTAATGAATAGACCAATGGTAGATTTGCAAATGTTCAAGATCGATTTCAGTGCGAAAAAAATGATTTGCATAGCACAATAAACGAAATTCCATTATAGCAGACCAAGCAATTGATTAAATATAATCATTTCACTTCATGTCTATAAAACGTTAGACTGAGAAGGCGCAATAGAGGTTAGCATCAGCCATACCGATGGAAGTATACGCATTAGCAAGCTATTTCTTGCCCCATTTAACAACCGATTGAACTAATTTTCATTAAAAAAGAAAAGTATCTAAAAATAGAAGATTAAAAACTAGAAAATTGACCAATAATTAATAAACTATTGATGAGTTGTGCTGCTTTTGTCATTAACATAAAATTAAAATCATACAGTTCTACAGCCTGCTTCAAGTGTACTCTTAGTAAGATGAAAAAGGGCCTTGACAAAGACTCTTCCTAAAATTATAGAACTGGACAAAATACATAGATTTTGTGTATGTTTTTTGTCTTTTGATTTGGCCTTTTTGATGAGGCCATTCTGCTTTGAACTGCTTCTTCTCAAGTAAACAGCAAAATATCAATTTTCTTTTTATCACATATTTTGATATTCGGCTCCTAAATTTCAGTGTTAAATTATTCAAAGACACACGGCCTGGTGGATACAAATATTAGTGAAAGTATAAATATGTTGGTCAGTATAATCATAATTTGAAAAATATTTAAATGGAAACCCGTTTATATTAACCAGAAGTCCTCCAATTTAATTCAGTAAAAAATTTTAATGTCAAAATAATTGAATTATAAACATACCTTGATTTTATAGCTATTTATATATGGAACTTAGGTGTAACCTGGTTTAGAAAAGAGAGAAAAGGCCATTGTTTAACAAAATTACTTACCTACTACTATGAGTTAGAAAGAGACTGACAGTATATTTCTTTGAAATACTTATAATGGCATTAAGTTACCATTTTGTATGTAGAAGTCATCGTTTGTTGAAGAGGGATATTTTCTTCTGTTAGAGGGAGATATATATTTATGCGAGAAATTGTAGTGGAGATATTATTGTGGCCGCAAAAGTTTTTTTTTTTTTTTAGTTCTCCTGAGGACAAAGAAGCATCTTTTCTCTATTCACCCACAGGATGTAGAGGGAGAGGAAGTTTATGTCCCTTCCGTTAATACTCATTTATACAACGTTACCTACTGAGCGTTAAAAGAACTCCTCTGGCAGACAAGGAGGAGTAATCACACAAAAATCTCATCTGAAAAATTATCGGTTTTATTTTTATAAACTGACAACAATCAAGACAAAATGAGAATAATCGCACTTCTTTGGACATTCTGTTAAAATCGCCAACATGGAGGAATCCTCATCTGTAAAAAAATGTCTGTCTCTCTAGCTTCCAGGAACATTCTTGTTTATCAATTTTGCCAGCAGATAATAGTTCAATAATACACCGCTAAACAACATCTAATATCTTGAATATATTTCTCATGTATCTATTATTAAATTCTTTGGAAAGTTTTATATCAAGGCTTGCCAAAATTGACCACATTTAACGTACACTCCATAAAAAGTGATGCCGATGATGTAATTCGAAATTGGCCAACCAATTTCGAATTCCGTCTGTGTTTAATGGGTTCACTTTCGCGAAAATTACCTTGGGAAAGATATGAATCTATTTCTTCTTCTCCCATCTATGGGTTAAATAGCGATGCGAAGTGGGATCTCTTGCCTTGAGGTAGAAACCACTCTAGGAGAAAAAAGCTCTGAATACAAAACCATCTCGAAAAGAATGCGTTCTCTCAAGACACAAAACTGCTGCAGTACATGTGGTACCCTCCAGATCCTAAAGGATTTCGGGGTCTAGGGATCTGGCCGCAGCAGGGTATTTCTTGGTTTGGGGGTAGAATAAGGGGTATTGTATAGAGGCAAGTACGCTATCTACAGATTAGTTTCCAAAACTATCAGAAGAAATTTGGCAATCATTCGGTTGTCTTATAAATGTGCTGCATTAAAAGAAATATGGAAACATCAGCTGTCGGAAGAATGGTGTCTGTAATGAAATCTGAATTTTATAATTAATTCGTTAAGCAGTTATTTTGAGATTAAAATAAAACAAAAAAAATCTTGGTCGTGGGTCTCGTTATGGCAAGATGCCCGATTTCCATGTCAAATTGTTTCTTTTCATTGATTCTCGTACAATCCCCGAAATTAAGCAACTTCAAGTGTGGTCACAACCTAGATGGATGAACCAAGTTCCAATTGCAGTCTAGTTCGTTATATTCACTTACGAGCAAATAGGAAAAGTATGTATTCACGTCTTCCCTCCCCAGGTAAGGGTTAATTAGTAGAAATTGTATCAGTAAATCAATACTATCTTCAAAAAATTAATAAAATCTAAAATTATTTTCTGGATTTCAATAACCTGCAAAGGGTTGATAATCCGTAAAAAACAAATCAATCAATTAATGAACTTTTTTCTTTTGAATAGGCTATACTGGAGAGCGGTGTGATAAAGTTGTCGATCGCTGCTCACCGAATCCTTGTTATTATGGCGGCAAATGTTATATTGAAGGAAACGATTATAAATGCAACTGCACAGCTGGTAAGTGGCAACGCCTCTTTCTCTTCAAAAGAATTCATTCAAATTTTCGAAATAACTTTTTTTGCTAAAATTCCTGGAAACTGTTTATGACAAATAAACGAAAATATACGATGATTATTTTTTATTTAATTCGAGGGAAAAAAAAACGAAACATAACATCACACCACACCAAAAATCTTTATATATATGAGAGAAAGAGAAGGAGAAAAAGAGAGAGAAAAAGAGAGAAAGAGAGAGAAAAAAAGAAAGAGAGAAAGATAAAGTGAGAAAGAGAGAGAGATAGAGAAAGTTAAAGAGAGAAAGGGAGAGAAAGTCAAAGAGAAAGAGAGAGAGAGAAAAAAGAGAAAGAGATAGAAAGTTAAATAGAGAAAGGGAGAGAAAAAGAGGAAGAGAGAGAAAGATAAAGTGAGACGGGGTAACACTTGTAGTGACTGTCAATTTCACGCCGTGAGTTGATCTTCAGAACACACACACACACACACACACACACACACACACACACACACACACACACACACACATATATATATATATATATATTAATAACTTTGTATAATACCTACATCAATTGTTTGACTAAGAGTTTCACGTGTGTACAATCTTCAGGTGCTAGTAGTTAATATCAATAATAAATCTAATAATAATGAATATTAGTAGCTGGAACCTGTGAGTCGTACAATTGATGTAGGTAGTATGTATACTTATGAATATATAGCTTGTAACTGTTACATTACACTGAGCACTCTTTTGATTACACCAAATATTAAATAAATATTTGCAAATTTCTATATGAACGTAATAACACGCATGTATGGTTGCTCATATCTCTTTATTTCATTCATATTTTTTCTCTCTCTCTCTCTCTCTCTCTATATATATATATATATATATATATATATATATATATATATATATATATAAACAAAGACGCCATTTTACGTACCTTTAAGGATTGCCTTTCAGCCAACGCTTTTTCAAAAGGCGGATGTTTGCGCAATTATACAAACACAATTCACAAAAGAATGAGAAAACTTTTTCTATTTTCAACTCTTTTGGAACCTTTTAATATCTGTTTTTACATTGTTAATTATTTACAATTAAATTTGTTTTAATTGTATTTTAATTTCTCATCTTCATTCGCTATCCTTAAAAGTACACAAAATTACGTCATTTTAGTTTAAATCTGTGTTCTTCTTTCGTGGGTTCAAATCCTTATATATATATATATATATATATATATATATTAATGATATTTTTATTGAAAATATTTTACATTACGCCACAGAAATTTCTATGCTTCGAGACTTAATGTTTTTATCTCATCATCAGGCAATTTTTGGTAATTTTGCTTATTTAAGTGTTTATATGGAGGGAGGAGAATCCAGATTTTTAGATCTTATGGGTGTGTCTCTTTTAACTAATCAGAAGAAAAGTCAACGCTAAATTTGAAAAATTAAATATATAGGTTAGATGTTGGGGGTATGTATGGTATTCTTACATGTCTCGGGGAACTGTCATATTAACGGCTCGACACCTTACTTCCGTCAAAAAGTATACATTTAAGTTACGAATAAATATTCTTAGAAATATGTATATCTCTGACAAGAGGTTATTTTTTTTTAATTTTAGAACTATCTTAAAGGGACATTTGGTATGATCAAAACATTTTTTGAACTTGATTTTTTTATTTCATAAAACAATTCATATTTTATTCATTATGCCTTCTTAATACAAACCAATTTAAAATTAAAAATCAAGGAATTAAATTAATATTACATGTACTATAATATAAAACAAAATAATGGATCTATAATTGTAATACTTAGACTTTTGTGAAAATTCATTAACTATATTTTAAGGTGAACATGTTAAAATGTGTACATATGACTGTAAGCTAATTCGCTGATTTAATAGATCATTATTTTAAGAAATTTAATAATATATAGTTTTTCATGTAGACACAAGGGGAATGGGTCATTTTAGGACTTACATATTCTCGTTTTTTTAATATTTTCAATTTTACTGTGGTTTTTTTTTATTGATTTCGTTTAAATACCAAAATTATTTAGATAGGGATGTTCGGTTACAGTACATATTGTTGTTAAAGGAAGAAATATGCTGGTCCCATCTTAATTTAAAAGAGTTTTTTGTGCTACCTATTGTTTAAAGTTTTAATAACTGGGTTTTCAGAAGACGAAATAGTGCATTGATAAACAATAGATTCAGAAAGGCATTTATTTTCCAATAGACACTTTATAGTGTCCTTACAATTACATTCTTCATTATCGAAATTATTGATAAATTTTAGAATTACTCTTATTTTTATTTAGGTTTAAATGTTTATTTAAATTTTATTATGTTTTTTATTTTTTACGTTTTTTTTTAAATTTTTTTGTTATGTTTTTTATTAAAATATTATGGTCTACGGTGGTGTATTAAGCATTTTTTAAAAAGTAAATGCCAGAGAAATCTGGATTCTAAATCTGTTTGTTCTTTTGTATATATATATATATATATATATATATATATATCGCAAGAAGATTAAAGGAAAAGACAAATAGGAAAAACATCGCCACTTCTGAATTCTTTTGTTTCGGACTAATGTTTACGTATATTTAGGTATAACCTCTAAATTGATGTTTACGTATATTTAGGTATAACCTCTAAATTGATTAGTTATACTGCTTCAGTGGTTGGGGCAAGTGTGTTTATATATAATTTAGTTTTATTTATTGCTATAACCTGTATTTTGCTTTATTATTATTATTATTTATTTATTTACTTATTTATTCATTTATATATTTCTTTTATTTTTTTTATTTTTTAAATATTTTTCGATTATTTTTCTTTGGTTCTAAGTTTTAGTATTTCAAATAAAATTTGTTAGATTTGACTAAAAGATTTTATTTTGCTTTTTGGCCATTATGTGTATGTACGTAACATAGTAGGAATTTGTATTCGTGCTTGCATTTAAATAAAAGGAATCATAGTTCATTTCGAAATGCAGATACAAAAACAAAATCCTACTACTCTACACCCATATCTTGAAGAAAAAGAGCAAATAAAACCTAACAATCTAAATCTAATAAATTTAATTCCAGAAGATATATCGTTATTTGTCTGTGTCTACTGTTTCTATTTTAAATGTGAAAGAAAGAATTATTTACATAGAGGGAAATTTTCCCAAATTATTGGCGGCCATTTTGAAAACATCTAATATTTTCTTCTTCTTTTCCACCTAGGTACAAACGGTAAAAACTGTGAATTCATTATTGAGAAGTGTAAAAATGACACCTGCAAAAACAATGGAATCTGCATAAATAAAATAAATTCCACACAATGTCATTGTCTCAAGGGATATGATGGAGAATTGTAAGTTGATTATTTTCTTTGCTTCTTCTTAGATTTGACGTGCAGTTATATAGCGGGAAAATGGAATCGACTATTCGGGTTCAAATTCAAAATCTGTTCTGTTCGCTTGGGAAATGCATGAATTCACCTCTCCCACCCTTAGATAAAAGAGCAGGATGCACTGGACTCTCCAGCCTTGGTTTGGGTTGGTTTGGTTTGTTTTACGGCATATCAATCTCAATGGGTCATTTAATGCCGACAACTTGTTTTTTTCCTGATAATATTTTTGTTTTGTCAAAAATCTATTTCTGTTAATATTTTTTCTCGGAAATGTAAAGCTGGTAATATTATTTTTTCAAAAACGTATCGCTAGTAATACTATTTTTCCAAAAACGTATAGCAGGTAATATTATTTTTTCAAAAACGTATAGCTGGTAATATTATTTTTTCAAAAACGTATAGCTGGCCTTTGCTGTTGGATGTAGTTTATCGTCATACCCAGGATGCGGATGTAGTTTATCGTCATACTCAGGACGCGGATGTAGTTTATCATCATACCCAGGACGCGGATGTAGTTTATCGTCATACCCAGGACGCTCTCGAGCCTTGGTAACGAAACCAACCGAAGAGAAGGAAAACTTTGAATTCAAAGGAACATATAAAGCAACGGGAAAATTCTCTATCACCTTTTTCCAAAACAATCACGATAGTTTACAATTTATAGATATTAAAGAAAATGAAGCTGTGGAGAGCCGTTAGCGTCTATGCTCTGAAGTGATATACAAAATTTTCCAGCAACAATTCAGTTAAGTGGAACTCTTATATACGAACCACCGCTAAAGATGCAGGTAAAATGCTCGGCTCCCTGTACCGCCCCCCAGGTAAATACCTGACTCCTCTTGGTATTTTCTATCTTTATAAGAGCCAGATCAGACCGTAAATGGAGTAGAGTTTGGCATATTTGGGCGGGAGCTGCCCAGTCCTCACTTTCCAATCTTGATAAGAATCTCCAAATGAATTATTTTTTCCCGCCTCCAATCTCTCTCTCTCTCTCTCACGGGCGGGATATGGCGAATCTCTCACTGCTCTATCGCTACTTCCATGGAAAGTGCTCGGACGAACTACATTCCTTGGTTCCACCCATTCTAACCTTCATGGCTAGGACCTGCCATGCAAACCACGCTCATTCTGTCCGTATTCTATCGGCGAGAAGTATGTTCCACTCGAACGGCTTCTCCACACGAAGCACTGCCCTGTGGAACAGACGTCCAAGAGGACGTTTCCCCGGATACTACAATCTTAACCTGCTCAAGTCGAGAGTTAACCTTTATCTTCCTTTCTTATCCATATAAACTAACCCTTAACATAACCCTCTACCTCGACTGGCCCCCGAGCCTTGTACATGGTGACTCTTACCGTAAAAAACAAAATTTTAGAATTATCCTTCAAAGTTGTCCAGCTTTGGTAATATTCAGTAAAGTTGTCAGAATTGAATTTTTTTTATATTTTCTTATGGCATTCATATTTTCAGATAAAAAACACATTGGACAAAATGTTTACACATTGTGATTAAAAACAAAGCGCGGAGTTTTCAGTGGATCACAGAAACTTTAATGATACAAGCTAATGTTTTGAATGGTTTGCGAAATACGGAAATGATTTTGGGCATATGGACACGGAAACTTTTTTGAAAGATCCAGAAACGTAAATGAATTGGACCAAGTTTGAAGGAAGATGTAGCAAAACCAACACAGGAACTTGCAAAAACAAATCGTTTTGCTTAACAATCGGAACAGAACAATAGGTTTTTTCCTGACTGAGGATATTGGCCGGTGATTTTGCGGCGTAATATTCATTCTTCTCAACTTACAAACTCAACACATTAAACGGTCATGGAGCAAGTATGGGAAGTTCTTCGACTTAAGCCGTATTGTCAAGGCCTGTAGCATCAGGCGTTCTTCGCTAACGTTCCTTGTTTGGTCAGCAACTCCAATAAACTATATCAAAAATTGCCTCGAAGAATAAAAACTGGGATGTTTTTATGAATCACAGTTTACCTGAAAGTCAGAAAAATAAGTTGAGAAGTTTGCGTGTTTATGACCCTATAAAGCAGCTGACAAGATCGTGAGCTTATGAACCTGTAAAGCTGCTGACAAAATCGTCAGGTTATGAGCCTGTAAAGCTGCTGACAAAATCGTAAGTTTATGAGCCTATGAAGCTGCTGTCAAGATCGTGATTTTATGAACCTATAAAGCTGCTGAAAAGATCGTGAGGTTATGAGCCTATAAAGCTGATTACAACATCGTGAGGTTATGAGCCTATAAAGCTGATGACAAGATGAGGTTATGATCCTATAAAGCTGCTGACAAAATCCTGAGGTTTTGAGCCTGTAAAACTGATGACAAGATCGTGATGTTATGAGCCTATAAAGCTGCTGTCAAAATCGTGAGGTTATGAACCTATAAAGCTGATGACAACATCGTGAGGTTATGACCATATAATGCGCTAAACGATTCTTTCTAGAAGACACTGGAAACTTTTGGATCGTTTTACACAACAGCATGAAATATTTCGATACAAGTGAATTGAAATGAAAATTACTTCTGTCCCTCTTGCCATAAATATGCCATGTGAGTGTCAATATTTCCAAGCTCTCTTTCCATATTATGTGCCCTAAAGAATTTAACTCTCTCTTTCACTTGTTAAGTTTAAGTGTATTTTTTCTCACATGTTCAGTCTATGGTATTCTCAGCATCCTTCTGTAGAACAACATTCCTGTTGCTTCAAATCTCCTCTACGATTAAGATATTGCCCAGAATTCACTGCCATATTTACTGATATTACGTAACAGTTCTGCAGCCTCTTCTTTGTTTCTAAATCCTTTTTCTTTTTTTTTAATACTTTGCTAGATTTTTGTAATGCATCTTTCGTTATCTCAGTTCACCTTCAGATTTTGATGTGGCATTTTCCGTCCTCTGTTTAAACATTTCCCAGATATTTAAATTCTTATACTTGTTTGATTTTAGTATCTGCAGTTTGTATTGTTCGGCTGTTTCATTTGCTGACAACAATGCATTCTGTCTTCTTACACTTGATGTTTAGTTGTTTTTCTCACTTTCTGTAGGAGCTCTTGTAGTTTCCTTGCTGTGTCATCTTCATATCTTATTTTGTTGAGATTTTGACCGCCGATAATGAACCCTGTAGGGCGTCTAATACTACTAAAATCACCCCGCTATATAGGTTGAATAAGTCCGGTGAGAAGATGCATCCTTGTCTTACACACCTTTCTATTTTTGTATATCTGTTAATTTCTTTTTATATTCGCATGCAGGCAGTTTACTGTTAGTATAGGTCATAGATTAATCTAATTTCTTGCCCATCTTTAACGACAACATCTAAAATTAATCTTCTATTTGTTTTCAGTTGCGAAAATGTGTCATATCCTTGTACAAGTAACCCATGCAAAAATGGCGTCTGTCGTAATCTCGGTACTTACAATCACAAATGTGATTGCTCACCGGGATTCAAAGGTAAAAACTGTGACATACAAATTGGTAAGTATTAAAGACAAATGGCAATTTACTTGCTTAAGTTTAAAAACTTCTAATTTCTGTCATTTTATTAAATAATATTTCAATTTTATTTTATTTGACAGATAATTGCGCAAGTAACCCTTGCCTTTTAAACAGTACCTGCACCAATTTAGTCAACGACTTTTTCTGCAACTGTACACCCGGTTACAGCGGCAAAACTTGTAGCCAACGATCAGACTTGTGCAGTAATGCCAAATGCAATATGGGAACCTGTGTCCCGAACATTCAGCAGCATACTTACACCTGCAGCTGTGACGTGGGACGCACATATAGTAAGTAATATTCATTTATAGGGGAGTTTCGTTTTTATCACCGACGCTAATTATTTTTGTACTTGTCTAAACGAAAATAAAACAGCCCCTGGAATGTCAGTTTTCAAAAGAAGTAGGTAGTTCCTTCTCATTTGGGAGATTGACGCAACACAGTCTTCTTAGCTCGATTTGGTTTCGATTTTGTAGTAAGTTGGACGGATGGTATAAATGTAAGCGACTGTTAAGCGAATTCAAATTCCGGCCGAATGTGTTAGATTGACTTTCGCAAAATTCCCCTTGAAAAGGTATAAATCCATATCTTCTCCCCACTGCTATGGGTTAAATAATATAGTTGACAGGCCACCCCGGTTTAGAGAAGGAAAAACTCTGGATTTAAAAGCAGCCTGAAAAAGAATGATCTTCATCAGGCTATCTTGCCCTAGACACACCACCGCTGGTATGGCTGCAGTACTTATGCTGCCACTATGACACAAATGGATTACAGACTGGTAACGTGACGTGAAGGTGAGCGTAATAAATATTTAAATGCAGACATAATTCAATTTTGAAAATAAATACTTTATTCTTAGAAATGTTATTACAAGCATTTTCGACAGTGAGACAATATTAAGAGAATGAAGACGACGTCAAGAATTTCTCAGTGCCACTTCCCTTATATGAAGCATTAATTTTTACATGATTAGAACATAATATTGGTGGCATAATCTCAGCAGTATAAGATGGACAGTTAACTTTGAGTTGAAGATAGACCATGAAATAAAGCCGAAAGAACTAGTTCAGCTTTAAATAGGAAAGAACTATATATATATATATATATATATATATATATATATTGCTTTCTTCTTTTTTTCCTCTCTCATCTTCTCTTTTCTTGTATACATAATGTTAGTAACGCAAAGCAGACAGAAAATTTTCACATATGCATCTGCCGTATGAATTGGCTGGATTTAACGATCATTTCGTTTTTTATTGTGCGTAATGTCACCACAAATGTATCCACACGTTTCCAGTGTCTGTTTTTTTACTTTTAATTTTAGGTCAGCGAATCGGTAGCGAATTATGCATCTGAAAATAATTCCTATTTATCTGTATCTCACTCATTTAAACCGTTATTTAACTCCTCTCTTTAAAACATCTCTCTGTTAAATTTTAATCGCCACCTTCACCTTTAAGCCTTCCTGTTCTTCTTTCTTCTGATACACCCTCTCTCTAGAGCTTTCATACATTTCCTTTTCACACTTGTTTCCCCCTCCCACACATACACTCTCACTAAAATTTTGTTTTTTATACCCGGAGTTATATTTTCCGATTTCTTTTTAAATTTATAGGTCTGATGAATTGGATCGTGATTACGATTCCAATGTAATAAATTACAACCATGGGATATTAGTGTTTGAGCCTTTTATATTAACACACACGCACACACAATACACAAAAATGGAGATAGGTCGAAGACGACACAGTGGTCATAAAAGATAAAAGCGAAGACCTCATTACTTCACCATTTCTCTAACCATTCCTAAATGTTTTATTACCCCTCACTCAAAAGAATACTTTCGCCACCATTCCAAGAAAAACATTTGTGCTAGTACAACAGACAAAAGACAATGGTTAAACATAAGGAAGAATAAATCCTTTTAATAATATGTGGAATTAAACACTATTTGTATGATGAAGTTCGCGAGACCGGAAACCTGTGTAGCAAAGCAATGGAAAATAAAGAATAATATATATTTTTAAACAATCGACATTACAACCAAAAATGTTTACGGTTTTTCTCTTGCTTTTTAAAATAAACACTTTTCTATCTTTGTAACAACAATAAACTCTTCCTAATATATATAAAATCTCCCTTATATATATATATATATATATATATATATATATGCATAATATAATGGGTTCGATAGGTAAATTGTTGCGATAGTATATATTTAATTTAGTGCAAGATGATAGTGTTCCATTTTGTAGACTGCGCAGTATATTAAGGTCAGTTGGGCACCTTCTTTCATAAAAAGTGCATCATGGAATTAAATCCAATCTGCGGACAGTGCAGGGGATTCTGGAAGAGTTGCATGAGTTTAATGGTGATTACGAAGGTGTTTAAAGTGATCACTAGTGATACGTCTTAGATCATTTTCCCAACACTCGCTTCATAAATTTGAATAAACTAATAAAATATTACTAAAACAAAGGAACTGAAAGCCGCATTTCATTAGTTGGGCTCGTCTGGGATTTAAACCCGGTACCAATCAAACCTGAAGGTAATATCATACACCTAGACCAACGAGACATCGTGTATACCTACGCACTAAATAGGATCTCAACGGTCTGACGATTATGAGTGAAATGAAAAAAGATGTTGAAAATGGATAAAAGAATGAATGCATCTCTCAGCCAGCGTCAGACATTTCCTTCATAAATTTGAATACACTAAGAAAATGTTACTTAAAGAACGAGAATAGCATTCTATCAACCGGGATCGTCCGGGAGATGAAGACGGGACAATTCGCACGCGAAACGAGCATCATAACACGGAGCCTACAAACCATTATTATACGAATCCCTCAGACAGTGTCAGATGTTGAGTTTATGTATTCAAATAAACAATGAAAAAGAACGGGAATGAGGTAAGACATAACGATATTTGGGCCGTTCGGAGATTTGAAACCGGGACCAATCGTATAGAAAGCGAGTATCATATCATTAGACAAACGAACAAATACCAACATAAACTCTAATAAATACGCAATCAAAGGTCTGTCGTTTCTGACTGAAATGAAAGCATCTGTTGAAAATGGACGAAATATCAAAGAATCTTTCGGACAGTGTCAGACGTATACGTCATCTATTTGAGAAAACTACGAAAATGTGACTAAAAGAATGAGAATAAAGAGCGGCTCTTCATTAGTCGGGCTCGTCCGGGATTTAAACACGGGACAACTCGGAAACGAAGCGAGTATCATCTCCCTGGACCAACGAGCCATTACATGCCTACTATCTAATAAATATGCACTCATCAGTCTTTCGTCGCTGACTGAAATGAGAGATATTGAAAATGGATGAAATATCAAAGAATCTTTCGGACAGTGTCAGACTTCATATATTTGGGTAAACTACAAGAAAGTTACTAAAAGAACGAAAAAGAAGAGACTCTACACATGCGTTGGTCTCGCCCGAGATTCGAACCCGAGACCACTCGCACCCGAAGCGACTATAATGCACCTATTCCAACGAGCCACTACATACCTACCATCTAATAAATATGTACTCATCGGTTTGTCGTTTCTGACTGAAATGAAAAAAGATATTGGGCTCGTCCGGGATTCGAACCCGGGACCACTCGCACCCGAAGCGAATACCACACCCCTAGACCAACGAGCCACTACTTGCCTACCGTTTAATAAATACGCGATCACCAGCTTTCTAATAAATACGCACTCACCGGCCTTTCGTTTCAAACTGAAATGAAGGGAGCTGTTGAAAATGGATGAAATATCAAAGAATCACTCAGCCAGTGTCAGACTTTTACTTCATATATTTGAGTAAACTACAAAAATGTTAGTAAATCAACGAAGTGCGTCTATTCATGCATCGGGCTCGTCCGGGATTTGAACCCGTGACCACTCGCACCCGATGAAAATATCATACCCCTAGACCAACGAGCCACTATTACCCACCGTTTAATAAATACGTGATTGTTGCAGCGGGCCGAGAGGTGTGAGTGCCAATCGACCGTACAACTAAAAAGAGGACACAAAGGCAAGGAGATGGCAATATCAAAGAAGGAGGACAAACGCAGATGGTCCGTTGTAGGCGATAGAAATCGTGTCTTTATTTGCGAACGCTGGATAGAAAGACGACAGATGTCGTTTGTTCGGGAACGGTATCCGGAGGTTGGAACTGGTCGCAGGACGTCAGTGAAGCGCTGCAGGAGTGAGCAGGAGATTTCTGCAAGCTGCAGGGGTGAGCTGGAAACTGCGGGAAGCTGCAGGAGCAAGCTGCTGGAGTGAGCTGGAAGCTGCTGGAGTGAGCTTGAAGCTGCTGGAGTGAGCTGGAGGCTGCAGGAGTGCTGAAAGCTGCAGGAGTGACCTGGTGTCTCAGAGGGCAAGCAGTAGCAGAGAGTGAAGTGAGTGGAGCCTCGAAGAGTGGTGATCGAATGACTTTCAGAAGTTAGCCCTGAAAAGGACTGTTTGAACAAATGCTGCTGCTGATGCTGGGTCCCGTCAGCTGCTGGGCTCGGTCGACTTCATTGGGCGCGTCAAAGTCGCGATACAGTAATGCTCCCTGCTCCCTGGCCAGCGGTATTTACTTGACTCCCACGAGGTCAAGATGTGACACAAGGTCGTTTTTCGTGGGATTACTTGACTCCCACGGGGTCAAGACGTGACACAAGGTCGTTTTTCGTGGGAAAAACCCAAGCGTTTCCGCATAGGGTCACTGGTCAAAGATTGGTCATAACATGACCAAGCTGGTCAAGGCTTAGTCAATGTTTTGGTCATAACATGTCCAAGCTGGTCAAAGATTAGTCAAGTTCTGGTCTTGGCTTGTCTTAGCAGGTCCTGATATGGTCCAAACTAGACTTTGCCATGGTCACAACCCACCCCGAAGGCCGGGCTGCTCCCTGGCCGGCGGTTTTTAATTGACTCCCACGAGGTCAAGATGTGACACAAGGTCGTTTTTCGTGGGATTACTTGACTCCACGGGGTCAAGACGTGACACAAGGTCGTTTTTCGTGGAAACCCAAGCGTTTCGCATAGGGTCACTGGTCAAAGATTGGTCATAACATGTCCAAGCTGGTCAAGGCTTAGTCAATGTTTTGGTCATAACATGTCCAAGCTGGTCAAAGATTAGTCAAGTTCTGGTCTTGGCTTGTCTTAGCAGGTCTCGATATGGTCCAAACTAGACTTTGCCATGGTCGCAACCCAGCCCGAAGTCTGGGCTGCTTCCGTGGCCGGCGGTATTTACTTGACTCCCACGATGTCAAGATGTGACACAAG